AAATAAACGTACATAACTACCACCACTCAACGCCAACTGCATTTTTTTGTGGTCGCGCTTAATTTTGTTAGCGGAGTACAGCGCGCCGTGACATCCACTTGTCCGTCGAAACGGACCTCCTTCACGTCGTACACTCTAAGAAAAAATGGAGGAAAAAAGTAGCAACGGCGCGTCTTCCTCCCTTCTACTGACGCGCCCCCAACCGGACACGAGAAAAGGGGAGGAACGAAACGTTTTTCTCCTTCTCCAGGCAGACGGGAGAAAGCTTTCGCCCTCCCGACTCATCTTCTTTCGGTTTCGTTTTTCGAGCAGGTCGCGCACGTTGTTTAATAAATAGCTGTTGATTTCATTGAGCTCCAGCGGCAGTGAAGGCCGCCTGTAATTCCGTCTTCTAGTCTAAAAGTGCAGAACATTTCGGTTGCAATGACGCTTTTATCACTAATTTTATCAAACGAGTAAACGAAGCCGCTAGAAACAGCGAAGTTGCGGAGCAGTGCCAGCAGTGCCACGTACACTGGGGGATGGCCGTCTCCGGATTGCGGGACTCGCGCACGCGGCGAACCGACAGAACTACAGTCCTACAGTCGCTACAGTAGCGAAACCATGCACGCGGAACTGTGTCGACGTTTTCGACGTTATGGAAACCGCAGGAACTGCGTCCAAGACAGGCAGGTTTTGCTGCCGGCTGCCTGGGTGCCTTCCGCGCTGAGTTCGGTTCTGTTTTCCGATGCCGAGTGCAACCGGCGTTCAACGTGGTTCTGTATTTGTGCGTGTCAGCAACATAGCTGCAACATCGTGATGGCAGTGTTGTGGGTTGTGAACAGAAGACTGGAATTATCGCCGATGTGACCGTGTGTTCGCGTATCAGTGGTGTAACAACAGGATGAGATCGTAAACTGTCGGGCATTGATGCCGTTGGTCGGGCCGTGATGAGGGGGCGGGGTGTCGCAGGTTGACATTCCGCTTTACATTAAAAAGTTTAATACCACTTGAGGGATTACGTGCAATCGATCAACGTGCGGATGGTCATGTTGGAACGCTGGTTTGAACTGTAGAAGCTCCTATCGCTGTCGTACAGTGGCCAATGTGACTGTGAGAATTGTCTCGACCCCGAGAGCGATTGCGCTCTGGGGCAAGGACTGAACAGTACGAAATCGTGACAGAAAGTACGTATATTTACAGTATGGAATTTCGGCATTAAAAAACAATAGTAGGTAAAATCGAAAAAAAAAGATGCCCTTTATTTTGCTGTTTAAATATACTACGGTTCCTGGAGAAACTGCCTTCCAAGTGGCGCGCTGGGATGAGCGCTAGACGTTTTTAGGCTCGCCTCGGCGTAGCTCCGTACACTGAACACCTGCCGCAAATCGCGGCTTTGACTGCATTCAAGTTGGTCGAAAAGCGATTTCTCAGCATGTGAAGCATCACTTCCAGCTGAGTGAATATCCGCTTTACAGAGATTAATTCAAGACGGCAATTGCAGCTTTGCGCGAACAGCACAAATAGAAAAACCACTAGAAATACAGGCTACGACGTGCCGTGTGGGGAAACAAACTCATGGCTTCGAACCGCATTATGGCGGCTTGATTTATTGGCTTTCAAATAATTACGGCTTGATCGAGCGTTTACTTTTAATAAGAGATTCATCCCTTGAGCCATTTAAAATACTTTCAGAGGTATGACATTGCTGGAAAAAAATCAACATGCTGGGAATATTTTTTATTGCTTAGGGGGTCACCGAAAAGTTCCGTACGTTCAAAACGACCAGTATAAAAGACGGAAACGCAGAGCACGGGTGTAGTGTCCGGGTTAGTGTGGTGTTCCGTTGTATTGATATCTGTGTGTGTGCCGTGTATGTGCTCAATGTATGTTCACCTAATGCTTGTAATAAGTGTAATGTGTGTGTATAGTAGAGGATCCCCAAGCGCAGGAGAGCGGCTCTGAAGCGCAGTAGTGGCCTGAAAAGAATAAATTATTTTTTGTAGAACATGAATTGGGCGGTACTTAGCGCCACCTAGCCTAGCTGCTTGCAATTACTCTGCTTGACCCCGCCATCTGGTGGCTAGCGATTTAACCTTTCACGCTACGCGATAAACAGCGGCTTCGAGTTTGTTCTTTCGAGAGCGGCTTTGGTTTCGCGGATTGAGTTTGCCCTTCTCTGTGATGTGCGGTTGACGAAGGAATTGTGACTCGAGGAACACCAAAGGTAAGACTCAAAGTGCGTGAACTGGGTATCGGTTGTCTCCGTTTAACATCGCAGTGCTGTCGACGAGAAGACTGAGTAACTGCTTTCGAAACGCAAGTTTCTGTACCTGTGGGGGGAATCTGGCTTCGGAAATAAACACAGTTGGCGGAAAGCTCGTGTGACGCTTTTATTTGCTGCTGCTCTCGTCCCGTACAAGAGACGTAGCGTCCTGGTTAAGCCTTATTGGGCTCGATTTGCTCGATTCGGGGCCGCCATATTAAGATGCAAGCGACGGAGGAACGTTGCTCCCCTGCTTCAGGGACGAACGTTTCTCCCTTTCTAAAGGAACATAGGTTACAAGACCGTTCCTCCCCTAAGGGAGGACTATCCATACCCTTTTTTCTAAGAGTGTACACGCGGCCAGATTCACGAAGGAGTTTTCCCTTCTTCATAGGTACCACGGAAGAAGCTTCCTGGATTCGTAACCGCCTTAAACTCCGTCGTAATCACCCTGGGAACACTGTCCGCTGTGCTGCTCATCGCCATTGCTTCCTCCCGATGATTCTGCACCGGCTACCGAAGAAGCTTTCCGGATTCTTAATCGCCCACTGTCCTCTGTGGCGTTCGTTGCTATTATTTCCCGATGATTCTGCGCCGACGGCACCGGCTACCGAAGGAACTTTCCGAATTCGTAACTGCCTTAAATTCCTTCGTAATCACGACGGGGACACAGCCTGCCGTGCTGTTCGTCGCCATTGCTCCCCGGTGCTCTTGCGGCGGCTGCCGCTAGGTCGCGGCGAACAATAGGCGACCGCCGCGACACGGCCGGCTTGCTCGCTTCCTATTAGAGATGCCGGTTATCCAACATCACTTTTGCTTGGAGTTGCCGAGACGCTGCTGAAAAAGATCAAGGGCAAGTTTGAGGGTAAAAAGGAAAAAACAAAAACGAGACCTCAGGTCATCTCCTACTTGCATAAAATTTCACATAACTTAAAAAAAAGGTGGCAGAAAAATTTGATGTGCCGCTTGTGTTTTCGGCGCGATGTAAGTTGGCCCAATTATGCCCACGGATTCACGAAAAAAAAAGAACGACGCGCGCTTATGCACCGTCAATCATCCCAAAAGATTTGTGGATTGTAACGTGGGCGTGGTGTACAGAATACATCTGACATGCGGTAGGCTGTACATCGGCCAAACAGGACGGTGCGTAAATGAGAGGATGCGCGAGCATAACCTGGCTTTGCGCTCAACACCCGGAGGACACTTGCCTCTTCATTGCAGAGACTGTCTGTGCCAGCCCTACGGCCCTACTTTCAAAATACCGCGATCGTGGGGAGGGCTCGTGAAAAAGCTGCGAGGGAAGTGCTTGAAGCGCATGCTATAAAGAAGGAGGGCACTGAAGGCTGCGTCAGCCAGCCGTAAATTTTTCTGCACCAAAAAAGAGTGATTTTATTGACACGTGGTGATGACTGACGCCACTGAGTGATTCAGTGTATTTTTGTCGGCGGTTGCTTGCTTTAGCTGTTTTTAAATAAATGTTCAGTTGAGAGTAAGCGCTCGTCCTGTTCGCCTTCCTTTTTTGACCTCGTCTTTGTTAGCGCTTTTAAATTTTATACCTCTATTCCCCCCAGTACAGTATTTGGCTTCACTAACAGTCGATCAAACTAATAGACAGTGCTTCTTTGCATTCCCACTTCTTAGGATCTAAAGTATACTTAAATAGCAAAGGTAATTTAATAATGTACATATGTAGAGATTTATGAAGATACCAAGTCAGTGTGTGGGCCATAAATATGCCTCGAAAAATCCACCTAAACTCATTGGTGCTATTCCCGAGAATGCATTCCACTGCTAAAGTTAATGGAGATTTCATGTAAACTTCATTGACTGCATCCAGGAAGAGTTGAGGACCTAGTTATAGTGTTACTAAACGTAAAATTTAAACGTACAGCATAGCACAGCTACATCTAATCAACGGAATTCATCCAAAGATGCCAATAATACACGCAACTTGTCAAGATGTCGCAGCGTATCATACAGACTGACCATAGTTTTATTTTGCAAATTTAACTGAGGGAGATGTTGCCACATCAGCAATCACCAAGTTCTTTTATTTTTTAAATTAATATTATTAATAACTTTGTTTAATAATCGATGTGCGGTCGTGCGCCATCCCCTCCCCTCCCCCTCCCCCTGGACGATTGTTCTAAGCGAAGCGGCACACGCAAAATCGCGATGTCTGCGGATGTAGCACCTCTCCAGTGCACCAGTGCGCGGGGGGAAGCGCACTCAACGGAGCTCATTAAACCGCCGGAACAGAACACGAACAATCGGAAATATCACAAAACCCTGAGTAACGTTTTATACGAAGATCAAATCAAATCACACGTTGCTCTAAGAAAAACAAACAAAAAAAATGCGATAATTGAATGTTTTGAAAATTCATGCAAGCTTACGGCAACATTCCACAAAAGTAGAAGCTTTTATATTGAAAATATAAAAATAACTTAGGTGCCATATTGGCGCGGATTTCTCGCAGCTGAAATGTATCAGGATGTAGCGAGGTAAGCCCTGCGGCGAAAATGAGGCAGCGATCGCTGACTGCTGTATTTCATTAAATAAATAAAATTAAGGAAAGTCAAACTAGATAGAAAAGTGAATAAACAGCAAAATTAAATAGTGCCAAATTGCTTCACACAGTGCTAAAAACCAAATTAAGAGATCCAGTATATCCTGCCCCAACGTTTTAAATTCTCAGGTTCGGTGAAGTTATGTTCATGTGCTTAGGAATCGCCAAGGAATGAAGGCACAGGTAGAGCGTGAAAACGGCTTTACTTTATTGTTTTCCTGGAAAACAATAAATACTATATACGAAATGCTGCAGATGAGGTGCTTATATCCCGAGCCTCTGCTTCTTTTTCTTGCTCTTGAGTAGTGATGGAAGGGGACCGGTGAACTTGAATGCCGTTCTGAAAAAATAGAAACAATATTATTCTATCTTCTTACATCTACTATTCTATAGAAGTTCACCAAAGAAAGTGACCTTACTGGCACGTGGAGCAGATAGGGCTGAAAGCACAGAATACTGAAAACAAAATAAAACAAAATGGTTAGTTTCCAGCATGGACTCCAATCCTCAGTCATAAAAATACACCTCTAGTAGGTGACAGGTTGAGAGTGAAGCGCCATTCACACACTTGCAGCCGAGTAGGACAGAGAGACAAACCCGGTTTTCAAGCCTCTTGCGTCGGTGCAGGACCGGATGCGCTGCTGCAGTGTGGGTCCTACGCTGTCGCAAGAGGCTTAAAAAACCAGTCTTGTCTCTCTCGGTTCTACTCGGCTGCAAGTGTGTGAACGGCGCTTGAAGTGGAAGCTCCGCCCACCCTTTCCACTTCAGCATAGTGAATGCTAGAGAGGAAGTCACTCCCTCTCCAGCGTTCCCTCTGCTAAAGTGGAACAAGATAGGAGGAGCTTTCACTTCATTCTTAACTTGTCACCGAATATACATTGGTATTTTTCTTTGCGGTACAATACAAAGGTGATGAAGGCATAACTGGATGGTTAAAAATCGCACGCAATGTTTAATGTACACTTAGGTATACTCTGTTTTACCTTACAATGAACCACAGTGGATGCTGCCAGCCATCCCAGCCAATCCAGCGTTGTGAACGCATCATATCACGTGACTATTATGCGCCCCTCCCGCAGGTCACGTGACACTCACACGAGATTGGATTGGCTTGGATGGCTCATAGCAGCCTCTGCTGTCCATCGTAAGTCACAAAGGAATACACACACTACGAAACCATGAGTGTCAAACGAGTGAACATCCAGTCACCAAACAGAAAATAGGTTTTTCTTTTTTTATCACACGGTCAAAGAAATGTAGAAATGCCTCCAGGGGGCACTGTGTGACCCCAGCCACTTACTGGAGAGACACACTGAGCACACATAGCCAATCTCGATGAGGTTTCTGTGGCAGAAACAGGCTGCCCTGTAGTCCACGTGGACTGGGGGTGGGAAGACCATGTAGTTCCTGGAGGTCTTGTCCGGCAGGAACACCCACTGCACACACGTCACACCCGAGCACCTCTAAATGTGTCGATTATACGTGACAGGCCCAAAGGTGTGCAGTGTGTGTTGTGAATGCGCTGGGCACATGCTCCGTGTGGTGTGTGCGTGAGACGTGAGGTCACGTGAATCTGCGAGTCCCGTTACCTTAAACGATGAGTATGGCGCACACGAAACACAACACGGAAGTAGAGCACACAGTGTGCACTCTATACTCATCGGCTTAGACGTGATCAACCAACTAGCCCAAGCTTTGTCTTCACAAGTCACATATGATGGCATGATGTCGTGCGACATCATGACATTGCATGATGTCATCATGTCACATTATATGACATCACGGAACACCCAACCTTGACATCAAGTCAGGTGATGTCATACGACTTCAGGGGGATATAAGCAATGTAGCCCATATGGGGCTATGCTGTTACATGACCTTGACTTGTGTGTCGGTCGTGCATATGTAATGTGCCACTTTTCTCATAAAACCTAGACCTATCACACGTTCAGTGTTAAAATTGCCTGGTGTCCACCCGTTTTTTGACAGTTACATCCAACCCTTTTGAACTAGGAGAGGAGAACAAAGCTAAAGTTAGTTGGTGACTGTGAGGATAAAAACAAAACAAAAAGGTGTATGACAAAAAATGGCCTTTTTCCTAACTTTGTAAAAAAAAGTGTAGGTGGACCGTGGCAAGCTTCTGCAGAATCAACTAACATGGCCGCTGCTGTTTTTTCTTTTCTCTGTAATTAATTTCAAGCTTGTTACGAGAAGGGTTGTAGGGTACTGGAACCAAAAGTATGCTCTTGCCATTAGCAAGTCCCCAATAGACCGATTTCACCAAGCGTTCGAAGCATGCGCGAGGCAGCTATAACTTTAGTTCACAGGAGGCAATCGGCATTGCACGACTGTTCGTGGCTTGCACGCGCAGAGCTCCAGCGAGGTTGTTGCATGCGCAGAAAGACTAAAGTTCCCTCGATGCTTTGCGGCAGCGGTGGCATAGTCAAACTGGCTGGTGAGATCGGTCTATTTCAGAGAATGTCACAAGGAAGGCCAAAAATTATTACAATATTTCTGATAAGAACAAGAGGAAGAAAGGCAGAAAAGAAGAAGAGAAGCACTGGGACCTTCATCAGAAACAACTCATTTGTTACTCTTGTAGTATACCACTTTATTTACTTTATAATTAGGTTTTGCATTTTTGGAGTTTATTCTTGAGCAAATCGGAAGGTGTTTTTCAGAGTACAACTGTTCGCCCAAGAATCCCCGAGTTCATGGGAAATATGGTAGCAAAGCTACTTTTGACTACTATATAATTTTACATTTCCTTTAGTAAATTAAAACCATTTTATAGGCACCTGGAATGATTGCCGTGGGACCGGAACCTTTCCTTTCGAGGGAATTGGAGTAATATGTGTTTTTAACTAAAATAAAAAATTCAACCTCTACACAATTTCAAAACACAGCCCGAAATTTCAGCTCCATAGACCAAATACAAGGCACAGAAATTGCATCCAGGAATGAGCGCTCTCCGACAACCAGAATGACACTGCCAGTAAACCATTTCCCCTTCTGTCACATGTGCTGTCTCTCTTTCGTGTGGGTGGTGCACCCCTTCCGACACATGGCGTACAGCATAAGCTGCAACAAGCTTGATGCAGCCATACGATGCCTCTCATCACACTAACCAGTGGTCGGTGATGAAACAAAAGTGAGACTCGCTGTTCTAGATATCTGGAGCAACGTATTGGGCTCGACAAGACCGAAGTTTGAAGTGCACCTTGCACCATGTGTGGCGAGAACTTACCAGCAAATACTGCAACAAGCCAGCATGGTTTGGAACCTTCATATACTTTCCTCCCGTGATGTCACAGCCCTAACAAATGAGTGAATACACAATCAGGAACACAAAAAAAAAGATCCGTTTAAAAAATTAGTTTGGTTTACCTTTTGTTAACAAAGAAAAATCTGACCCGTAAATACCGATGTCTTACCTGTTGAAGCAAGCCAGAGTCTTTTTCAAGAACACAAGCATCGATGATGACATTCTGCGAATTAGAAAACAGAGGAGTACAGACTCATTCATCCATGTCTGGTTAAGGGCAGCATCAAAAATATGTTTATTTAAATGCAAAACAAATGTTTTCAAGTGTGTTTCTTTTTTTTGCCACGATCAATTGAGGATTGAAATAAGCTGCTGTGTGACATTGTGGAAACGACTTTGCCGGAGCTGTTGTTTAAAAAAGTTCTAGACTATCTGTAATGCTTCTTCTAACTATTTTGTTTTCCCATACTCGTTCTGTATTGCTCATGTGCAGTGTTCTTTTTCTTGTTTGCACTGTATTCTTCCATTTCTGTGCCGCCTCCTCCTCCTCCCCCCCCTTTTTACTGTGATGCCTCTTCAGGCAATGAATGTAGGTATCAAAATAAATAAAGCATGTGACGTGGTACTTACCAAACATACAAGAATACCAACAGAGTAGTAAGTCTGTTGACAGATGTAGCTTGATATCACCAAACCAGAGCTGGAACTTACCTTTTTTTGTGCAGTGAAGAAGACATTCATGAAGTTGAGATATTGTGAGGCACTTTCTCCAGATGCCGACAGCACCTAGTTTCGAAAAAGACCAAGAGATTTGCTGCCACTCATTAACCACTTCAACTGCAAAGGCGCCATCACATCCAGTGCAACCTCCCAAGTCAGAAACTCTGTTTGGACCACCCCTAAAGTTGGATGGCCCATAAGTACACAATAAGTATTCAGAATAGAAGGGTTTTAAGTTTAAACATGTAGTAAGTATAACCACAGTAAAAGTTTTAAAAAAAAGGAGAAAAAAAAAAAAAGACTTACAAGAATTCTTGAAGCAATCTTGTTCTGTGACGACGACTCTTTTTCTATCCTATTGATGTCTTAGATAACTCTATCAGGAATATTATAACACATTACAGCCTTTACATTATAAAACATTACAGCCTTAAACATAATGAACATATAAAATTATATATAAACATATAAACAAATTGTATTCACAATTTTTTACGAGCAGCTAACTGAGTGTAATACCTGTGCAACTTGTGAAAAAAAATAAAGTCTCGGGGTCACAGGGGAAGGGGAAGGGTACAGGCCGACTAGTTTTGAGGGGTCACAAATTAATCCCACAAAAGAACTGAACCGAAACAAAATCCGTTTTTAGAATGAAGAAAGCATAGGCTGCTTTACGAGATGAGAGACCTAGCCATAGCAGCCTTGGCTACAATCACTCCAGGCTTCTGCACTTTAAGTGTTTCATATCCCCATACAATGTGCAAACTTGAGCTATAGCATTAAACCTGCGTTCGTAGGACAATGATAATTGTGTAACCACATCTGCCAGTTTCTCTGAGGATGCAAGATGCATATCCAGGGCTAATGCTATAACTTTACGGGAATCGGACATTGACTAGACGATATGCGAAATTGCTCAAACATCTGGCGACACTGTGTGCACAGCCATTTTTGTTAGGTCGAGATTCCTCTGCTGTTTGTAGATTTCATAGCATTGTCGGAAACGATCGAGGCCTACTGCTCACCGTCATCTGTCCTCATCCACACTTGTGAGCTAAGGGATACCGTATTTACTCGCATATTGGTCGATACGTCGTATAGGTCGACCCCCTAACTTCGGGACCCCCGAAAAAAAAAAAAAGTTGAAAAATATAATACCGGGATTCGCGTATTGGTCGACCCCCCAGTTTTGATGAGGCGATTTTTGAAAAACAGGTCGACCTATACGCGAGTAAATACGGTAGTATTGTTTTACTCTCTTCCTTGCACGTGTACGTGCTCATTGCACCGCCGGTTGCTGGTTTCTCACTGTCATTAACATGGCGGTTATACACATCAGCTTGAAATTTGGCTGAGTGCCGGCTAAGGCACGGGCGTAGACGCGGGCACCTGGTTTCAGAAAGCGCTTTCTCTACGCGAGCGAAAAATTCTTCAGAACTACACTTTCGAGCCCTGGCCTTTACCAGCGCCAAAGCCAGCTCAGACAGAGCAGGTTCTTTGATGCCCCACTAGAAGGGCAGTACATTTCGCAAATAGTCTATTGATTTTCATCTGCTTACCTGTTTATTCAGTCAGGAGTAGAATTTCATTATGTTTTGTACACACAAAACAAGGCAAGGGTTGTTCAAAAAGATGGTCAGCTCTCTTAAGATTTTTTTCTCTCTTTTGTAATTTGAAGCACTGCTCCAGATATTTCACTTTGATGGTTTCATCTCAAGATGAAAACTTGATACTGCAAAAGCACTTGACACGCTTCTTGAAACAACAACCTTTCCAATATGTGTCGTTTGAAATCGGATTTATTGCTTTGTCGCTCGCTCGTGCCACTTGCACACCGCTCGTGCCACTTGCACACCGCATGTTTTAACTTCATAGCGCATACTACTGAAACGGCTGATCAAATGGGAGATGCGATTGCAGAACAGAAAGGATACAGCAGAGGGCGAGGCTCAGTCCGCCTGTCAAAAGGGATTCCCCAGCAGCGGACTCCGAATCATCTGAAAGGAAACCCACGAGAAAATTTCTTACTAGAAGCAGGCATGAAACGTGGAATAGTAGTTAAATTGCCAAGGTACAAACAACAAAAAATTTCCGGGTCCACTTTCTGGTTAAATTGCAATGGCTATAGACATTTTTGCAAAAATCCCAAAAGCCCGCACGCAACGCACGACAAATTACGAGAGTCCTCGGTGCGTTCCTCCCATTGTTTTTCTTCATGCCACCACATGAAATGTGCAAGCAGGCACAGGTTACCGAGGAAACACGGCTTAAGCGGGCGAGCCAAGTGAGCGCACGCAAAAGGGGGTATCGTGTTGGCTGGCCGGCAAGGCCAGCCCTTTATCAACCCACCCCTTTGCACCGTCTCCGTCGTCTGCTACACCAACGCTTTGTCAAACCCTACCACGGTTGTGAACGAGCAGTTTTCACATCGTATTACAAGAAGTGGATTTGTTGACGCCACAAAACGTGAAGGTGTTACGATGCATTCGGCGCAGATATGGTACGCCGCCATCGACGTACGACATTTCGGCGGACAGCTGAGGCGACAGCTGCCACAACTCACGCACAGTTGCGGAGGCGCAACGAGAAAGCGCATCCTCCGTACCTCAGTTTCCAGAAATGCCCCGCTGTCGTGGCGCCACACATATTACGACAAGTCTATTTCGGGATGCGCGATTTAAAAATCGGTTTAAAAACAGCCGCGGGGATGGGTAAAGCCAACGCACGCTGCTCTGCAATCAGTCGCTCGGCGGAAACTCGAGCAGTTACAGATTTGGACTCGGTTTAACGATAGCGATCCGTATGTTCGCTCGTCTTCTTCGTCAGCACTTCTACGACCATACCACCCGAATCGCAACAAGTAGGTAGATGTGCCGCTGGATCCTTGACATGACAGTAAGGAAGCTAAATGCATCGGTTGAAGACGCCATCTTGGCACCAAACCCGCGCTACATATAGTAGGTCACAGGTAAAGAACTTGGTAGTAGCTCTGCCTCCACCACATGCTCGGTGCCTTGCTTCCGCTTGCTTTTGGCTCTGTTACAAAGTATCACCAAAGGCGGGAACTCGAAGCAGAGATTATACCGGGCGTTTCAGGGAAAGATTTTCAAAAGTCGTCAAAAATAGGGTGACCGAGAAAAAAAGAAACTCTTTCCAGGGAACGGACTGTCAGTCAGGGGGGATGTCAGGGATTGCAAAATGCATGCTAATTAGCTAAATAATCAATGAAAACATACTAATTAACTTTTTTAAATAGTGAAAATATACATTGTTTCGATTAGAAACTTTCTGAGCATCAACGAAAACCACTAAATCAACTCAATTTAGAAAGATATAAAGCAGGTACAGCATTCTACCATGCTCCAAAAGAAATACTTAATTCGAACGCCTTTTGAGGTTTCAGTTTCTTATCGGAGTGCATTTTTGCACCGGCAGTCCTGCCACCATATGGTCGAGGCGCCACATTATTGTCTCACCTCCCTCGTAGGATAAAACTATCAGTGATGTGATTGGCCTAAGCCATTTTGGAGCACCTCTTGGAGCAGCCAAAACAGCTTTTTGGAGCAGCAAAAGTGGCCTTTGGAGCAGCCAGAACAGTGCTCTGGAGCAGCCAGAACAGTGCTTTGGAGCAGCAAACGTGGCTTCTGGAGCAGCCAAAACAGTGTTTCGGAGTAGCAAAAGTAATTTTTAAAACAAAAATTCTTAGAATTTTTTTTTTGTTGTTTTTGTTTTATGTGCTGGTCAAACGAAGGACACTTTGTGCTGCGTTGTGACGGAACTCGCTTTTTGTGTTTTTACTGCTGAGACATCCCACAAGTGTACAGTGCTGTAGGCGTTGCCAAGCGATTTCGAAAAGAACGCTTGCCACCGCTTTACTGGTTCCCGACGTGCCAGATTTTCGTCAAAAGTAAGCAAACATAAGACAATGAATTCCAAGAGTACCAGCTGGTGCCTCTGTCGTGAGGTTTTTTTTGTTCCTTCGGGAGGACCTCGGGTTCCTTCTGGAAGACCTCGGGAGAACCTCGGGTTTCTTCGGGAGGACCTCGGGTTCCTTCGAGAGGACCTCGGGTTTTTTCGGGAGGACCTCGGGTTCCTTTGGGAGGGCCTCGGGAGGACCTCGGGTTCCTTCGCGAGGACCTTAGAGGACCTCGGGTTCTTTCAAGAGGGGGGTCACATACCCCCCCCCCCCCCCCCGGAGAACACGTGACTCTACAGTACCCTTCCCTCCTCCTCCTCAGGAGCTGAGCTCTAATTCGGCGTTACAGGGAGTTGTAAACGGCTTTCATTTTTTTTCTGTCAGTGCTCATAACTTCGACCATCAGTTTATGTCCCCAAAAGTTTGCCCTCATTGTGCCCTTTTGCAGATTGCCCCGTTGAAGGTTGCCCTCCTTCTCTGTGGACCCTGGTTGGGGGGTTTGAAGCGTCTTTCATTATTTGTGGGTCGAAGCGCGTCTGAAAGCTGCATTCGTCAGACTGGCCAGTACTGTCCCAAGGCTCTTCGGACATTTTGGGACTTCCCTCGTCTATCGCAAATTTAGTGCGCGCTTCCGAAATTGCGTGCAGTAAACAGGAAGGATCAGGTGAGAATGACAGATGTGAGCCTTGGAATGTATGCATGCATATATTACAATAATGACATGTGAATAACACTGTGTATCAAATGTGAATAAAAATTGAACCGTTTCTCGTCTTGATTGTTTGTTTCTATTCGTGATATTCTCCGTCGATAACAGCCGTTTGAAGCGTCTGCACGAAATGCACCGGTATTTTGGAAATAAATAAACACCGAGAAACATCCGCCGATTTTCAACATAAATAAACACGGGAAAGTATACAGCCTAGCTATTATTAGTATGTTTCTTGCAATCCCCGACATCCGCCATGCCCGGTAGTCTGTTCCTGGAAAGAGTATATTTTTTCTCGACCACCCTATTTTTAGGCTTTTTTGAAGGTTTTTGCTAAAAACACCCGGTATATCATCAGCAGCGCCACCTAGCTCCACTGACTCAGCCGGCATCAATATGACAGCAACCATCCAATCAAGGAGCTCCACTTGGATCCCCAGCAGGTGTACGCAAAACGCAACACCCTGAGACCGCTCGGTGACTAGAACCGGCACGAATGGCGTACCGGAAAGGACAAGCTCCTTGACTCCGTCTTTGATCGCTCCGGTCACCTCGGTGAACAGCTCGTACTGGCCATCCACAGAGTATGTGTCAGACGAAGATTCCTGGGGCTTAGGATAGATGAAGGTGCTGAAAAGCAAAAGAAGCAGATTTCACTTCACTCCTGCTCGTGTTCTGTACACTGTACATGGCATGCATCGGCATCTCATCAGAGGCCATTGCAGTTGCCTTGCTGCTGACTGCATGCCTCCTGCAGTACATATTTGGCATCAGTAAATATTTTTATCTCTGCAAGAACAACTATGCCCGTTTTCATCTCATAAAAAAAAGGAAGTTTTGTGTATTGTTCATACACCAAGCAAAGTAGTTCTTATAAGATTCGGTTGTCAGAAAAAGAAGAGATGGTTTTGGCATTAGAAACATGCATGTCTTTATTAGGTAACATATAGTACAGGGACTTCTTGAGAAAAGAGAACCATGTTCTTCTACCCAGCTAAATCAACACTGCATCACAGAAAGCTTAAAGCCCGTGAGAATGCGACGCCAGCTGTTGGTACAGAATGCGAATGTTTGAGAGTATGACATTACCTGGATAAAAGATAATTGAGAAAAATGAAATATCTCTGAGTCAACGTTCACTTAAGCCTAATTTTCTCGAAACAAGAAATGACACTGTGAGTGCCTGTATCACCTATTTTAGTGAAAAACAGCTTGTCAGCAAAAAAGCAAACAATATCCTTCTTCTTGCTGACAAGTGTTTTTTACTGATATAAATTCCACAGTCGTCCACAATGTCGAGTTGTGTTTTGACGATATTAGACTTGGGTGGATGTTGGCTTGTAGAGAAATTTAATATTTCTTGGCTATCTTTTGATCTAAGTAATGCAGTGATGTGATTGGCCTAAGCCATTTTGACGCACGCTTCGGAGCGACCAAAACAGTGTTTTAGAGCAGCAAATGTGGCCTTTGGAGCAGCAAAAGCAACTTTTGGAGCAGCCAAGACAGTGTTTCGGAGCAGCAAAAGTGGATTTTGGAACAGATATTCTTAGGAAAATAAAAATATTTGTTTTAAGTGCTGTACAAACGAAGGGCACTTTGTGCTCTGATGTGACGTGTTGTGAAGGAACTCGCTGCTTCTGTTTTTACTGTTCAGACATCTCACAAGTGTACAGCGCCGTAGGCGTTTCCGAGTAATTCCGAAAAAACGCTTCTCACCGTTTTACTGGTTCCGAACATGCCAGATTTTCGTCAAACGTAAGCAAACACAAAAAAAAAAAATGAATTGCAAGCGTCCCAGCTGGTGCCTCAGTCATGCAATCATGTTCGCATGCACGTGAGGCCAACTTCGGCAGACTTGCTGTTGGGCATGCTTCGTCGCGCGAGCGCAGACAACGGCTGTCCGATCGAAACCGAAACCATGCCCCTCAGCTCCGTCGCTAACCTATCCCCGAAATCGTACACAAAATGTAACTTTCGAGCATGCGACAAAAACAGCCCTTGGCACGTGCTTGCTAGGCTGGCAACAAGGTACAAGCTAAACACATAGAAAATAAAGAACCTGAGTGCATCGATGCAAGACATTGCGAGTCAGCCTCAAAATGTTCTTGGGAGTGCTTTGTGCAACGACTGAACTTGAGACAGACAAGCACGCTGTGCAGGTTTAGCGTGCAGACATTGCCTTTTTTGCTTTAGCTCACTTCTCTTCATCAACTTTCCTTCACGGCAGATTTTTCACGCACCGAGGTCCCTCTCGAAGGAAGGCCCACCGAGAGGAATCTAGATAATCAATACTTTGACAGAGCAGTCATTGAATTAAAGATGAATTTTTGTAGTAACGTATGATTTAAACAAGAACAGGCATGATGATGAACGTGCGGCGGTACTTAGTTTCATTTCAGAAAGTACCATATCTGCAGTGATGTGGGGACGGCAACATTCGACATCGTACGACCACGGCGACTGAAAGGCAGTAGCCAAATACAGTTTTCCCACGGCTGTTACTTCAGCTCACAAAGTAACTCCTCTCGTGCAAAAACGTGGTTTCATTTCACAGCATGACGGCATGGCTGGTACCCGGCACGCTAGCGTGGGAGCGTCTGCACACATCCGCGTCTATCGCTGAAAATATAAAAAAAGGAGACGAGAGACGAGACCCACAAGACGAGAGCGCGAAACGCGAGACGCAGAGAAAACCATGCAAGACCGGGTGAACAATTGATGCACGATACTTTGTATCAGGCGGCCGCTTGCGCCACATAACACACGCCTGCTCAATTACAGTACTCAGTTTAGTTTCGCTTTTTTGAAAGGCGACCTAACTTGGTCCTTTGGCGCAGGCTTGGCACGGATTACCCATATTTTGGCGAAATGGAGCAGGATGTAGCAGGGTTAGCCCCTTGGCGTAGTTTGGCGCAATTGGCACAGTTTGGCGCAATTGGCGCAGCTATCACATCACTGGTAATGTCATGTTTTCAAACATTCGCATTCTATCCCAACCGCTAGTGTCACATTCTCCCGGAGCTTGAACTTTCGGCAATGCATAGTATTCGCAACTCCAATGCCCAGATGACGGAAGAGACAGAGACAGACTTTTTATGAGCCTGCTCGCTGACGTTGGTTAACGAGCTTAAATTAATTTATTTGGCTACAAATGCAAAACGGTCAGGGCAGGAGCGTAAAAATTGTGTTGATTGTATGTTTAGACAGCCTTGGTGTTGGTACGCCTCCATGGGTGACCGATCTCTGTAGGTGAGAAATTTAGCCAGTGCAGTACAACCGCTAACCCGGGGTCTTGTACCGTGCAACACGCAATAGTGATTACACAAATGCATGACGGTACGAAACTCATCCAGACCGAAATGGGCAGGGGGTGGGTATGACAGGTGACGGAGATATCGGCGTACACTAGAAAGACCAGAATGTTTTTTTAGAGGCTGGAAGAAGATCACAGAACTTGCGACGCTTTGTGGAAGCCGAGCATGTTTTGGGTGCCGGTCACATCACTGTGTGTGACAAAATAGTTTTGTGAGTGGGTGAAAATATGGTGGTGTTTGCGCTGTGCCTGGTCAGTAGTGCCCTAAAACGTGAGTCACACATTCTGTTGGACTAGACACAAGCGTGTGAATCGTCCTTTATTAGCTTCCGGGCACTACACATTTGAAGGGTTATAAAAAATATTGGTTTATTAGAAAGACGATGAGGTTAATTGTGCTAAATAAAAAGAAACGAGCACGAGAGAAGAAACAAAAAAGGTGAGCGCACAGAAACAACACTTACCTCTTGTGAGAATGGCTTGCGATGATTGCTAACTTGTTGCAGGGATTGAGCATGAGGTGGGAGTTGCAGAATACGCTGAGGGCGTCCAGAAGCTTGGAAACGATTCCCTAGAATTTCGCGTAGGTGTCAGAGCGCTCGTCAACTGGAGCCAGAGGACCAAGAGGAAGGATACCCACCTGATCGCTCTCCAGCAAACTGGCGCACGGATTTGTGTCGATAATGGCAACCAGAAGGCTTCCTTCATCTTCTGCTAAATAGAATCGGAAATGTATCAGCTCTTTTTCAGTTACGCGCTGTAGCGTGATTCAATTTATACTAACGATCGGATTAGCACAGAAAACAGGCTAAGCGCGCAGCTCCAGTGCTGTCTATGCGTGGCTCTCCTATTTATTACGCAAATATCAAGCACAACGTCGTGGTTGTTGATTTTTCTACTTCTGATCAAGTGACTAATTACTTGCATAAACAATTCGATCAAGAGCTGCTACTACAAACCTCTAAGCGCAACTCACGGAGAAGTTCCGATAGGCTCATGTCACTGCACTCCCTTTCGGATTTTTGGCAGTTGATTTCAAGAAAAAAATCTTACGCGATAAACGAAACAGGTAGCAGTGAAAAGCAAATGCGCACTTACCGCACGGCATCTTTGTATTCGACCGGCGGCACGAGCCGACGATCCCGATTCGCGGCGATTATGAATGGAGTCGACTTTCCTGAACGGCGCAGAAAAATAAACCATAACCTAAAGACGGCGCCACATATAAGGTGATAAAAAAAAGAACTGGTCAAAATTACTGCCAACATAGCCCGACAAAAAAAAAACTCACAATATAATAATAATGTTTATAATTCTTTATTTTGGCTTTCTAGTTGTGTTTAAATAAAAATGTTTTATTTCGAGCGATTAAATATACTTTACTGCGTATCGAACAGGTCTAGGCAGAGCCTCCAAGGCCAGAAGGTCGTGGTGTTTGCTGCAAGCTTTCGGTTCGCCGGTGGATTCTGCGAACATTCGTCGAAATGTCTGGGTTCCTGACAACTCTGTACCACTCTGTATTCCGGAGAAGTTCCACCTTTGCCCTGGCAGTCATTGGTGGTGCGTTCCTCTTCGAGCGAGCGGCCGACGCCACAGCGGACGGACTCTTCGACTACCTGAATCGGGGGGTGAGTGACTTTGACCTTAGCTCTTGCTGTGCTCACCGCCCGTGCATGTAAATCTGGCACCGCTTAAGCACTGCGAACATATTAATGCTCATTAAGAAGGAATACAGGTCTTAGAATCGCCTTCTAGTCGCATCTATTATTAAGCTATGCGGCCCAAGGAAAGTTCTAGACTTCACGTGCCGTTTTGGTGGTAATCGTGTGAATATTACGTTCCCTAGCATTAATCGTGCGGAGTGGTGTGAAGGTTAAGTAAGAACGCTTTCTTAACCAAAAAGATAGAAATATGTTCCCTACAGTTCATGTTAGCATCGGTACGCATGTGCAAAACAGAATTTCTACCCAAGCAATAATCGCTAGTGCCACATGTCTACAAGTTATAAAAAAAGTAAAGAAGCCACCTTCGTGCGAGCAGTTTTCGTTGGGCAGGATCCCTTCCAACTTACCTGCCTTTTTTACAAACGCGAGGACTGTTGCATAATGCACGTGTGTAATGCCCGTTTCTCTGGTCATTTATGAATGCAGAAACAGTGGAAGGACATCAAGAAAAACTATGAATAGGACCTGGACACACCTGCAGCGGAGAAGAGCTAGATAGTCACCTTGGATGTCTGAAGACTGACTGCTGTGATGGGGGAGACATTTCTCTTGCCCCAGACTTTACACCAGAGCCAATAAAATGCAGACGGCACATACATCATGAATTCGGCACCGTGAAAGTGTTTCGTAGGTTAAGAAGTTATGTACTGACACACAAAAAAACTCATGAATTCTTGTACCTACCTCCTATAGCCCGTTGCAACTCGAGAAGGTAGGACGAGAAAAGGGAAGGCCGGGGAGGAGGAAACGGAATGCTGGAGGAGGTTACCCCTCTCCTCTCCAGCGTTCCATCTGCTTCTTCCTTTCTCTCGCCCTACCTTCTTGAACTGTAACTTACTATAGAAACATATATACTGTCGGGAAAAAAGTTTAGATAACACCTGAGCGTTGACCAAATTGCATCGCCGCGCTCCCAGACGGCGTACCACTTTCTGTCCAGATCCATGCAGTGCATATGCGCGTCCTTTTTTATCTGCTGGCTTGCTGATTTACTTGCTTGAACCTGACGCGCTCCAGTCTAATTCAAACGGTGATAGATGCCTCTCCGGCAGCCGTGATCCCACAATCTTCGCTCATTGCTCTGGACAATAGCCGAGCGACTGAGCTCGCATGCTGTGCGACACGAGCAGTAGACGCAACTCGGCAACGAGTTAAAAATAATTGCTTCCTTTTTTGCGTTACCGATCTCACCAGCCGGTCTCGTTACGCCGCCACTGCCGGCATGCATCGTGGGAGTGTAGTCTTTCGGCACGCACGACGACCCCGTTGCAAGTCTACGTGCGAGTTGCCACCGATCATCTGCAGACTACAGTTATGGCAGTGTCACGCATGCGTGGAACGCTTGCAATGCCACTGTCCAAGAAACTCCTTCGTTGCAGTGTAATTTCAAGGACAAAAGCGAGCGTTTTCATTCAATCTCTCCTTCACAAAACTTGTCGACGCAGCTGGGTGGTCGCAGCACCGCCCAGTGACGATATTTAAATGCGGCTCATAGACTGGAACTTAGCATTGCCTGGACACTCGATTTGGGCTTATAAGGATCGATAGATCGGGAAGCCTTCAGGTAGTGGCCCGTGTCCAATCGCTGCACTGACGACAATAGCCGAACCATAACGATGCCTGGAACTCGGCACGTGTCCTGTGGCTTGCCAACCCCAGTGCGTGGCTATGATCAACATTGGCGGTGTATAATCGACTCCAGATCACTTGGTTGCTTGTTCTGGTTGCGAGTTGTAAAGGTGGACGCTGCTCGTTTTAAATTTTTTTTCTGAGACTTCGATTATGTGCTATGAAAAATGAATGGGTGTTTCATGGGTCATTAACGTCGGGGGGTCTGTTCTAAACGGTATTTGTGCAAAGTACAAAAATTGTTGCATCTCCCCATTAAGATGCGCACGTGGTAAATGGCTGAAGGACGAACTGAAGAACAATGCCGGACAATTGTATACTATTTTTACAACCCAGAAATAAAATTGCAAAAAAAAAATGGTGATGGCCACATATTACTCGGAGCACCGTTGGTCGCCAAGTGTGAACTGCCCGTGCCGCAAAACTTGGTCGCTGTCCAGAGCGACGAGCGAAGACTGGAATTACGGCTACTGGAGCGGTGTCTATCGCCGTTTCAACCAGACCGCAGCGTGTCGAGTTGAAGCGAGCGAACGAGCAGGCCAGCAGATGAGACGGGACGCACGTGCGTGGGTCTCGACAGCAGGCAGCGATGCAAGTCTGTCGGCGCTCCGGCGTTATTCAAACTCTTGCTCCCGACAGACAGTCGTGTCCCGTTAAGATGCACACCTTCGTCTCCCTAAAAATCATTCGTAATCAGAATCGTCAATAATAACAAAACAGATATGCCTGTATTTACCCAGTTTGTCCCCAAAAAATGTTTCCTATATTGCAGAGTATCTGTATTAACAAAGTCCATTTAATTGGGACCATGACTGACTCTACCCTAAAGTACCCTTAGCAGTTTCTCAGACAGAAACTACTTTGGCCCCCCTTGCCCTCAAATGAAGTATTTGTCTGGAGCGGATGCAGTTTCAGCGTTGCCAAACTCTATGTAAACATTGCATCATCATTCCCAGCCGAAGCCTCCTGTATGCCTGTCGGATGGAGATAAATACAATGAAGGCCGCTGCCGTTGCTTCAGGGTGGGGACGCCACCTTCGTAGGGGCAGGATAGATACCTTAGATTGAAGGGAGGGTTCATTTCGGATCATGGTCCGCCATTGTGTCTGCCATTATACTGCATAATCTGCCATTGTGTCCGCCATTCAATTACATATGCAATTTAAAGGCAGACACCTGCAACGATCAGTCGCAAGTGCACTTGCGGTGCGTTTTTGCATGGCGAGGAGGAAAGCGGGAGGAAGGGCTAAGATTTTTGCAGACAATAAATGGCTTTCACCTCCTTGCAGCTTGTATTGCAAAAATGGCCCATAAACCTAGTGACCTCGATCAGCGAGTGGAAACTTTGTAATACAGGCTCTCAGGAGGCTAACCCATGACCTTCTACAATAATACTTAAAAAAACAAGTGAGCTGGTGATGATTCATGGTAATAAAACCCGAGACTCAGGAACACAGAAGGGGAAGTGTTGTGTTGTGTTCGTCCCCTTCTGTGTTCCTGAGTCTCGGGTTTTATTACCATGGACCTTCTACAGTTGAAAAGTGCTCAATCGAGGTTCCGTGGTTCATCGGTGGCATTTGTAATACGAGCTGCAAGGTGTCAAAAGCGTGGATTGTCTGCAAACGTTTCTGCATCATCTCCTGCTTTCCTCCTCGCCGTGCAAAGATGCACGGCAAGTGCACTTGCAACTGATCGTTGCAGGTGTCCACCATTATATTGCAAATGCTCCCCATGGTTTGAGATGGACCCTCTTTTCAATCGGCTTGGTATGCAGTGTTGCCATATTCGGGGGCAATGTTTAGAGTACATGCTCAGAACGAGCTCACATTAATAGGTGGCTAAGACTGGCAGTCTTGATGGTGCGGAATGCACGTTGCAAGAGAACTGTAGAAGCGCGCTGTCGGCATGTGCTCAGCAGCCAGGCACACGGCTATCGCCGCCAGTGGATACACTTTTCCATAAAAGCGTACAAGGGCACATTCATTGCTGCGTTTGTGTGTTATGCACGTGCGCTTTCTGGCTGGCTGGTAATGCGAGCAAGCGCTGGCTGGACTGATTTAACACGTGTGGACTGTGATTTTTGTAAATAGTGGAAACGGGCATACTCCCTATAACCTCCCAACGTAGGCAGTGCCATCTCGCATTGCACGCGGGCATTGGAAGAAGAGGAAGAATTAGTATACACGACTGCCTTCGGGAGGGCTTCTGAGAGGCATAGAGCATAAGGAGGCGTTGTCCCAGCCTTCTGGTCAGTGGCTCTATCAACGAGGTGTCTTAGCATTTCAACTGCGCAGCAAGACTGCAAAGAATGTCGTGATTCTTCCAAGGTGGTTTGGTTGGTGTTCCACCAGCTTTCTTAGAATGTGAAAAAGATGCTCAAACCCTTCCCCACCATGTGAACTCGTTAATTCATTCACCGTATCATTACCTTTAGCAACACTCGCACAGACTCCGCATCACCAGACTACAAAAGTGAGGTCCACACTTACGATGCAGCCGCGCTTGCGCATCTTGCTCTGCTTCCCGTACGGCAGGTACGGGATAACCCCGACAATGCACGTGCATTTCATACGCATGCACGCGCACTCATTCTGCAAATGCCCATGTCGCTTGGATAACGAACAACACTGCTGCATTTAAAATTTGCTTTATTACTTATGATACCTCGACGTGCGGCTGCCGCGAGCAGGGGAGATACTCTACACGGTATGGAAAATGCACGGAATGATGCAATATGGACTTGCTGTCTTGAGGCCAACAGCTTTCAATGCATACACTGGTGGATATGCTGTATGTACACAAGAGCTAAACCATATGAAACAAAAGCATATAAAACAAGTCTGGTTTGGGGGCTGCAGTTCCTGTGCCACACCAGCTGCTTCCAAGAGACGATCACCAGGTGGGAGCTGTGTTGGCGAGACGTCGCATGCGACTGTCAAGAAAAAAGGGGGTAACCACCTATTAAGCACTGCACATGAACATAAGATATTTGAATAATGACGCTACTTCCAGGCTCATAGATGCACTGTACGCAAGTACTACTCCCAAAGGCGCTTGTGTCATCATGCTATATCAAAGAGAGATGTGGAACGTTTACACTAGACATGAAGTGCCTAGTGTAGATGCCAGTCTTGGCCAGTCTATGAAATGGCAAAGCTAGTGCAGGTGCTATGTACGCACGTTTGTTTGCAAACTTTACGGGGACTTAGAAGAAGCACAATAACTCGATACTGTAAGGCTAGCTAGAAATAAACATCCTATACAGCATCCTTGAAATAAGAGTTGACGCACAGACAAACTCTTGATATGCAATCACACTGAAAACCCCACAGACTTGGGTTACACAAAGAGAAACCCCCCTCCCCTATTGAGACAGTCTTCCCCTCCCCAATTGAAACAGTCTTGTATTTGTCTCTTGCTGTGTGTCCTTTGTTCCTAGGTCTTGCAGTATAATCAGTTTTTTACTGTTTTTATGAGAATGTGTCACCTCCCCCGCAAGGTGAAAACCAACTGCTTCACCAAACGTTCAAACAGAACAAGACTCAGATACACCAGCGGTGTAGACTTTCCATTTTCCCGGGGGCGGGGGGGGGGGGGGGGGGGGGGGGCAGGCTGAGAAGTTCTTCGGGGGGGGGGGGGGTCCGCGTTACCTTCTCGCCAGAACTGGAGATTGAAGCTAACGAAAGCACGCTGGGATTCCATTTCCTATGTATTTTGTCAATAAAGGCAACGTGGGCGTTATTTTGTTTACCTGCCACTACTAGAAGCTCGTTACATGGCACGCAAACAGCATCTCGGTAACGATCATAGCCCGGGGGGGGGGGGGGGGGGTTCTGCCCCCCCTCCCCCCCTGAATCTCATTAGGGGGGGCACGAGCCCCGATGCCCCCCCCCGTAGTCTACGCCTATGGGTAGCACGCAAAAAAATAAAACCCAATACAAAATGTGTGCAGCTCTTCACAGAACAAGAGGCTTTAAGGAACCAGGAAACAATTTCTTCATTTTGGCTTCCCAGAGCTCAGAATAAACATTCATATTCACTGAGCATTGTAGGGAAATCAGTTTACTAGAACACACAAGGTTTTGTTGTTTTTTTCCGCAAAAAGTGGATTTACGGGTTCGACATTTCATTTCCTCGGCTGCCCCGACCTGCAGCCCCACCTCTTAATGAAATAAACGAGGAAATGATTATCTCTCAGCCATGGACATTCCACTCAGTCACGCTTGATATAAGTTGAACACAGTACAGTAAAACCTCGTTATAACAAAGTTGAAGGAGCAGTCGTAATTATTTCGTTATAACCATTAGTTTGTTATAGCCAATGTCCATTTCTTCCCACTATTAGCAAGCAAGGGGAATTATGATTGCTTTGTTATATCCATTAGTTTGTTATATCCCGTTTTGTTATAACAAGGTTTTACTGTAGTAGTAAAGTAGACGAAACAGCCGCTGCAACTAATGGCCCTTCTAAAACGCGATGGGTCATGTGGCAGAACCAGTGTCAGCTTAACAATATGATTGTATGCGAGAGACAAGTATCAGCCGGTTCCCCACTGCCAACCTTCGTTTCACAGTCCCTTTTAACATAGTAAGCAGGGACCTCGTACCGTGTGTTCCTGTCCTGGTCTCGAATCTTCTTCTCCATCTCGGCATCGGTGAGTGTCTCCAGGAAGGGGCACCACTGGTCGGCCTCGGCCTGGCTTCGGAACGGCAGCTCTACTGTGGGCAGTGGGGCCTCACTGCAGGTGGGATAAACAAAGGACCATTTACCCTATTCTTTGGACTATAGTCTGCGGACTATACACTTCTAAAAGTTGAAATATTACGTGGTACGGACTATCTACAATTGCAAACTGCACGCACATTTTTTACCTTTTTTTTTTTTTTTAAGGTTGTTAGTTACGATGAGATGCGACAGGTTTTGTGAATGGCAGTTTACATTGATGTTGTTTTCTTTATAATACAAGCTTTTTCATGTCTTAATAAAGCAGAAATTTTCAATGCCTGTTCTGTATATTTTGTTACGTGCAGAATATGCACCCGGCACAGACACTGCGGATTATGCATTAGTGTAGACTATGTACTTTGCTTTTTTTTTTTAGAAGGAATATGTCCCTGCTGAGCATTCACCGAATGCAGACTAGTCTCGAAAATGTGGTATACCGGATCTACCAAAAAACACGAATGAGCACAGTACAGAATCTGCAAGTTAGCTGCCCTCCATCCACTGGTACAACACTGATCACTAGTAAATCAATGCTAGATCTGTACTTAGTACTTTAGCATGCACTGTACAGTGCACTTCAGTTATGGTCACCATAAATGCTTGAGATAAGAATTATAACTATCAGATTAGGATATGCAAAACTAGAGCAAGACTGGGTTACATGGAAAGAGGAAAAAGAAAAATGTTACATAAAGGATAAGTAAGGTGTGACCATTTCCCCCCAAAAAACACGGCCTCAGTGGCTAGCAGCCAAATTAGCAGCCAGGAGATCTCTAGCTGGCGTGATAAAGTTTTGGCCAAGGAGTGCACCCCAAACTAAATTCCGCCACGAGATGACTAGTTTTTGGCACTTTCGATGCTATTCCTGTGGCTTCTGCTCAAACTCAATACATTGAGACATTTCGAGTCTCCTATCATTATCCAGTGTGGAGGTGGTCCAGTGACCAATTTATTTTTGAGTAACTGCCAATAGCTCAATGCTTCGGCAACCAAGTGGCAGCATTTACGTTTGGAAAGCACCATACTTGCAACGTGACAAAGACTTATTCTGGTGCAGATGGTAAACAGACAAGACCTTGGTTGCCCGTCGAAGAAAGGCCAAGGTGCCATAAACGAATCCTTAATTCTTCACTCAGGTGCGCCAGATGCCACATGCTGATTTTGCACCAACGTTTTTCAACAAGTGACCAGCAGCCCTTTACTTTCCCTCCACTGCCACCCTGCAGACAGCAACTGAAGCCTCGCAGAGCTCGAGCTAAACACGGTAGGCCTGGGGTTGGATCGGGAACGAGAAAGAATGCGCACCTGAAGGCGTAGGTGCGCTGATGCCAAGACAGCTGCCCCCGGATGCTGTAGGCGATGGCCGTCACAAACTCCCCTCCCAGGCCCAGCTCGGAGCACAGCTTGAGGGCAAACTGTTCGGGGCTGTTCTCCTTCTCGGACATGTCCCACTCAAACTGGTCCACCAGGGAGATGTTGCCCACGTGGATGTTCAGCTGAAACGGAAAAACGGGGATCGGCCACCTCGGCGAGGTGGGAAAGTCGCGATGCACGGCACAGCTGCCCAAGATCAAGCACCGCACAAAAGGTGTGTGCAAGAGTACGGGGGAAGGCCAGGAAAATGGAACTCGTCTTGACTACCGTAAAATTCCATATTGACGCTCCTCCGTAGGCTCGAAATTCCCAAATATCATTCACCCCCAATTCCTGTCAAACATTGTGCGATGTTTGATGGGAATCACATCAACTGCGCGATCTGTGGTATTGGTACATGTGACAAGCGCAGGGGTGGAAGCAAGCTTCAGCCTTTTGTAGCAGGTCTGGGAGCGGCAAAAGTGGCACTTTGGAGCAGGAAAAGTTCCACTTTGGAGCTGCTTATAGCTGATTCAGATGACAGACCGAATCGCGATTTTCGTCCGCGGACTGTGTACCACGTGACTGGCACGTCACCAATTCCTGCGATCTGCTCCTCGTCCGCGGACGCGCGGACTGATAAAGTCGAGCTCTTTTTTCAGTTGCGGATTTTTGGCGGGAGATTGACTTGAAAAGCGTTTAGTCTGGCAACGATATATGGTTTTCTTGGTTTTTTGTTTTTGGACGATTAAAACAAAAATGGTGCATCGTGACGTTTCGTGTGTTCGCAAGTTCATTTTGTCACGAGATTCTTGGTTCTACGCATGAAAGAAACTTTGGCTGACGCGACGCAGGATCCGGTACTTCTCTGGGTCAGTGTCAAGAACCTCCTGTCAAAATTTGTCTAGCGCGCCGCGATACTTCTTGCACATCCAATCAGGATTTCATTGAGCAAGACCTCTCTTGTGGCTGTGACGTACTTGAGTGTTGTGCACGAGCACAGAGTGCGTGAAGGCATCTCCAAATTCCCCTCCACGACCCCAGAACTTTGTTGCTTCTACAAAAAACCTTCTTGAGCAGGACCATGCCTGTGTCACTGTCATGCTCTGGGTTAGTACGGTATTGAAAGAGATAGGAATAAGCCTGGTATGTATTTGCTAATACAAATAAGGAAAAGGGGTGATTTTCAGAAAGCTGTAACACATTGTAGCCATAGCCTAAACAACACTTAACAGGTTTTCTTTAAATATAATGAAGTATATTGCTTCAAACATAAATTAAAAATTAAACTACTCATACCAATCAATTTTTTTTTTTTTTAATGTAATGCACGGATATTTGTGCATAAAACTGTCTTTTGTAATCTCCTCTGCCGAGTTCTGCTGAAAAGTTGCACCCTCTCTCCCAGACTTTTAGAAGGCGCTCCATTTCGGCTTCAGTGACTGCTGCTAGTTTTTTCCCGCTCTCCCTTGTAGATAAATACGTATGCACTTTAACGTTGTGCAGAGAAATTGGCCGGCATACGCGCCCCTTAGGAATTTAAGCCTATCATTTTCAGAAAAAACCTCGGCCTTTACAGTACTCCAGACTATTTTTCTTTGTGCTTCTCTTAACACACTAAAAATTCCAAAACATATTTTAAAATATGGCCACATACAGACAAAGCATAGATAAGAACCTCTCACCTTAATAATGACCCTCTGGTCCGTCTGATCGTCGAGGAGATTGTCGGTGGGGAATGCCTCAATCTGCGTCCGGATTGACTGGGAGATCGCTGGCACAAACGACAGGGGCGGAAGGTCCAGATCGTCGCACAATATCTCCGCAAACTGCTCTGGCGTGATTTGAGATTCTGCAAAGTCAACCATACACAGGTCATAAAGTAAGCACAAGGGGGGTAGCCACAGAAAGGAGACAACAAATCCCACCATTCTTGTTCCAGGTGAATGTGTCACGCAGTTTGTGCCCTTCAATTTCCATGTCCAGTCGTATAGGAACCAGAACTTCGGGCTGCGCAGAATTCTCGTGCAGGGTGGCGGGGTCCAAGTCGTCGTACCTAATGATAAAAACGTCGCCCTTGAAACAACGACCCAATAACAAAAAAGGATGCTTGCCGAAATCGTTGCGCAGATTGTGGTTGAAACGCAATAGCATTTTGCACCGTCTTGTATAGCGTAAACATTTCTTCATTAAACTGCTTGGGAACTGCTGCAAAAATTCTAGAAATATTTTTCCTCGACATCCACGGAGTCTCCTATCCCATTCAGTACCGATTCAGATAATTTTCTGATCTGTCTACTTTCCCTGGACCAACCGACGACTTTAGTCGTAGCCTTACTACAATTCAAATTTTTTCTCTCCTACTACTGTCGAGACTGGTTATAACGAAGTCAACGAGAATCAGAAATAGCTTCGCTATATCCGCTATTTCGTTATAACCGACATTGGTTATAACGAAGTGCAAAAGGGAATGGGCAACTGTGATCGCTTTGCTGTAGCCGCTATTTCGTTATAACCGACTTCGTTATAACCGGTCTCGACAGTATATTGATATAAACAAAACATATGCATAAGCACAATAAAAAGCTTGATAACCGTATTTTCTGTCCAGAGGCCGATATACATTACGTTCGTCCGGGTGCATTGCCCCTCGTACGCATAGTTAAAGCAGGTGTCTAACAGATGCATGCCGCCCGCTTCCTGGGCTACAGACCAAAGGACGGACATGGAAGTGCATTGGGTTCCGTGGTAAATGCCATCGCGCCTAAAGAGCAATAATGTGACGGCCGTTGCGGCTATTCCGTCCAAGGGCAGGCACTCACAGCAAGGGGAAGGTGCGTATCTTCTTGTGGGCGATCCTGTTGCGGTTCACGGGCGTGGAGCAGGGGACCGCATCCAGGTGGTGCGAGCTGTTGGGCAACGTCGGCATCCACGTCGAGCCCCGCTTGGACTTGGTCTCCCTGGAGCGAGGCTTCCGCGTCAGCACCCGGGGGAAACACGCCGCCCGACACAAAGAGCAACGAAACGCGTCTTGCCTCAGCGTAGACAAAAGCAAAGGCCGCAAACAATTAGGCCGACCTGACAGCGTCTCGTGAGCGCACCATTTCGCCACGTTCCCCCCGGTCGCATAAGTGATCCAACCGTTAAAATTCTGTAGATTCTCTTAAATCTACAGCCGGCAGTGCCAATCAAGTGTTGGGAACCAGTCGTAACGGTGCCGTCTTCAAAACCAGCTTTTCCGCCTAGCTTCGAGCAAGGTGTGGCGCGGCTCGTCGAATCGGGTAAAAGATTATTTGTAGTTTTCGCATCCCGTTTTTCATCCGGCTCCTTTTCTGAATGCTGCGGCAAAACAACTCCGATGAATTAACCTTGAACCGCCAACTCCGACACTCAACGTACCATATTTTCCGGGCTACAGTCAAAACCCAGTGTATAGACCGCAGAGGCAAATTTGGGGTCAAAAATAAGTTTTTTGCTTGGATAATTTGCACCCGGTGACGCGCGCGGTGCATAATCCGCACTTCATGCCTGATCCAAACATAAAAATTATCATACACAGCACACCTTGACAAATACCTGCTACATTAGCTCACAAAGGAGAATGTATCATACATAAATAAACATTCATATACTCTGTTATTCATAAAATTCTTCACGTCTTGTCACATTGAATGATGTAGAAAAAAGCAAATCATTGTATAGTTTGCAATGGATAAAATTTACTTTTAAACATATATAGTCTGCAGACTATAGTCCGGAAAATACGGTAGATCATCTCATCTCCCAAAGGACAAACAAAAAGCTGCCCCAAATCTTGCAAAAACAAAGGAAGAGAGGGGGGAAAAATAATTGGAAGTTACGTCCCCGTGTTTACGCTTTCAGTAACGTCTAACTGAACCGATGCGCTCACCTTCAACGCGAAAGTAATTTGCGAGTCGGAGTGTGCGAGAGCTCCGCGTTTGAGCTGAAGCTTTCTACAGCTACACTACGATTACCTCAACACGAAAACAGGTGATCAACCAGCTGCGGTAAAGCCTTCGGTTTAGAATGATCGAGCACCAGCAGACTACAATACCTGTGTTACACAGGCGTTGTCAGACAGAGACGGGCCAACTGTAGTTGACACAAACATCAAATGAGTTTGGAATTAAGTTCCTGCCACATGTGCATTCTTGAGTGTCTGTGAGCTGCTGCAGAGGACACCCATGTAACCCAAGTATCGCTGGGCAAGATCAAACTATGCTAGAATGCACGACAGAATTGTACAGCAGAGAAAAAGAAAAATGAAATTTTAAAAAACACGTCAAATTAGTAGCTTGGAATTTACTAGATTTACCACTTTCTTCACACCGCTCCACAGCATTCAAATTTCCGGCACTTAATCCCACTCCTAATTTTTAATATTTATAAAAATCTAAACTCAATGCTTAATTAAAAAAAAAAGAACATGTAATTTCTGTTTTAAATTTGGAATATTTAGAAATACTTTTCGTCACTGGTAAACAATGCACTCCAAAATGTCTTATTTAAGCTCACCTGAAGAAACAATAACAAAGCTCTTAATATTATATAGTACTTCAATGCAAAAAAAGTTAGGTGAGTATAAACAAAAATTATAAATTAAAAAAAGACATACAGACTGGGATGAGCAAGAGTGAAGTGATAACTTTGTTGAGAAAAATCAAAAATATGATGGACTACGAAAAAAAAAAAGAACTGATTACTAAATTATTGTCGTATTTCCACTCTTTGCCCTTACCGTTTAACCACGTTATACCTAACAATGTACACAAACTCTTAGCCTAAGTCAGTGGTAAAACATTCAACAATATTGATGTTCAAAGAAAAAAGAAAACAGCTTTACAAGCAGCACGATTACAATCTACCTAATGGTTCCTGAAAAAGGTAGCCCGATGAAAACTGAAGAGGTCGAGATCAAGGCAACACAAACTTCCAGCACAGCAAACAGTAAGCAAAATCTGTGCTCGACAAATTACAGTTGGCTGGTAATCTTACAGAAATAAAAGGATAATAAGAAAAAGGATGACGACAAGACAAAGATCTTTCCCACTGGCAATGTGAACATTTATGTTCACATTGCCAGTTGGAAATATGTTTCTTTCATGTCTGCATCCTTTTTGTTGCTTTACTTTTACACCTGCAAGAGGTGCGCTTGTGATTAAAAGAAGCTATGATCGACGACCACTATTTCTCTCTCAGATAAGCGTCACTTATTGGCAGTAAGAACAATGCGTGCGTGTGGGGGTCGAAAAACCATTAGGGCATCAAGATTCCGCACATGCACTACTTAAATATCTACATATATCCACCACTTGGGACTTAAGGCTGAACTCCATGGAACGAATTATGTGACGAATAACTGGCGCACGCCGCCCGACGGCACGCTCGCTTTGCGCGCGACGTAGCAGCCAGTGTGTTGATTCCACGCGCAGAGCAAAAGCCGCCGGCCACAATTCGTCGGTTATTCGCAGCATATTCGTCCCATGGAGTTCAGCCTTTACATATAAAGAGCAGTTCAAACGAGCCACATGAAGGCTGGTCATGTTATTTAGTCTTCAGAGGGGTTAGGACACATCCAAAGTAAAATTTAAGTTAACTATAACGCTAGAACCCATCGTAGGTTCCTATATTTTTGCTAAATTTGTTTTGAAAATGGTGCCATAGTTTAGTGGATAAATACTGATTCTTATGCGGGACACTCAGATCCACCCCCTTCTTTGAGAAGGCCGCCATGTTTGTTGGGTCGGTGACCTCCTACGCCTGACGTGCGGCATCCCCTTGCATGCACTCCTGACGAGGCTCTCTCGGCGTCTCGAGCGTCAGTTTCCATGTTTACCTCCCGCGTTTTAAGCACGCGGTTTTGAGGCGATGACGTCCACCACAATGCTTGTTTCGTCGGAGTCTTTGACACTCATCTCTATAGCAATGAGAGTGATTGTTATCGAGCGATGCTGGAAGCTGGTCATTTTGACTTCGACCCTATGGCGACCAGCTCCAGCGATGACAAGATCATCACGGACGAACTCGCCATCGTCCGCGATGATCTCAAACGTGCATAAAGGGTGGAAGGTCAAAGGGGCAAATGTGAGTGTAGCGTCGGAGTAGCCAAGTAGCGCAAGTGTGTGCTATGTAAGGTGGAGAGGCGAGCTTGGGCAACCATGGGGTGCCTAGAATGAGAGCGTCCAACTAAATATCATGATCGCGTGGTTTAAGGGCACCATGATGTGACTAAATTAGGCAGCGCTGCCTGGTCGCCAGATTAAAATGACCAATATTCGTAAATTGATTATTACAATTACTATAATTACTAGAGCTCTAAAAACCGTAAAACAAGCAGCCTATGAGCATTCCATTTCAAGAATAATCTACCCGTTTAATTTTCGTGTCCTAACCCCTTTAACCCTTTGACCGACTAGTCTGTTTTCCCAAAATATGTTTCCCAGTGATTGGGCTTTGTTTCCAAAGGAATAGTAGAAACAAAGGGTCAATGCTCAGCTGTTGACTTTTAATCATCTAGCAGCAGCACATACAATGCTTGCAAGCTGATTAGGTTTAGAAGCATCGAATGAAGGTACTGAAGGTGAAAAGTTGTCACCTTTCTTCCACACCGTTTCATTTTGGCGCATCTGCAGCGTTGAAAGTCTGAATAGGAACAGCCAGTGCTCTCATTGGCACTGCCGCGAGAGCGGCCGGTATGAAAGTGAGCATCATGTGTGCAGAGCGTCCAATTTAAAAACTATAAATAGCCAGCAAAGCAAAACACCATACAAATATAATGTTTCGAGCTCGCCAAAGACATGAAAGATAGTTTTGCGTTTAGGCTGGAACTTTCATACATTTAATCACCGCCGTATATGTAAGGTGATGACTGTCAAAGGGTTAAGATCACCAACGGGGGAAAAATACAGACTTCATAATAAAACAACATCCTTTTGCAACTATATCCCAAGATAAATTAACAAAGCCATGAGGTCAGTCTCTTCTTCTGCTGTTCATCATTTGAGTGGACATGTAGCCGTGAGCAACACACGGTTTAAAAACAAGGAATAAAACGACTGACTGGAGGTTAATCATCTCACTACTCCTTTAACGCTGCTGTCCAAGTTAACAAAATAGTTTTGCCTGAATAATCTGGGCAGAGCATCAAAATGTTCAGACAGACAGGAAAAGACTATATAAGGTCCTGCCAAGACAAAACGTCAAACATTCTGTATAGAGAAGTTTACACATGGTGTTTGAAGTAAGTATACTTCAAAGCATGTACTATTAATAAGCATTTCACTGAAAACCCAATGCTGAGGTATTCAAATTAATGTCCGTACAAGACTGACTCATGCAGAAGCAAACCAAGAGACTAATACAAGTTACTCATAAACAACTAGTTCTTTGCATGCATGTTTCAATTAAAAACAGATGTCTGAAATAAAAGGCATGACTAATACTCCTACCAGAAAAGATAAAATGCCTGTATAGAGGAGTTTTAAACTGTACTCACTTCTCATGAACAAACGTGTTACTGTCCAATTTAATTGATAATTTAGCTTGCTGTCTCCTGTATGTAAAGTCAATGAAAAAAAGTGTTTGAATGAAGTTCATGCCCCAAATTCCATTAATGTGGATAGCAAAAGAATCAAGTGCTTTGGAAGAGTGGCACTGGTTATTTCACACAATTATTTTTAACTTTTATACCAAACAGGCCCTTGACTTCGTAGCAAATGATTTCGTTATTTACAAGCTTTCTACATGATGCTAAATATAGATTACTAAAAGGATATTTTTTTTAATATCATGCATTTAACATGACAATTCCTATACTTTTAAAATATAAGCTTTTTCTGAAGTTTCATAAGGTTATTGAACAATAAATGAACATGATTCATTCCAGGGTTTGTTCAAGGCAGTTATTATACTGCTTAATTTGGTCAACATGCATGAATGGCCTTGTTTATAGCTTCTGTTCAATACAATTTCCAAGTTCCTAATGCAGGGGGTTCTATTCAAGATAAGAACAAACACTATCAATTTGGAAGAAGAGGGCAACTTTCTATTGAGCAATGAACATGTTGCTAATTTCAGTGCAAATCATAGCACAGTATGTGGTAGAAAGACAAAAAACGGATGCCCCTTTTCTCCATAACAAAGTGCTAGCCTTCCCACCTAGAAAAAAGACATTTCACAACCCCGATCTACCCCATAGGCATGCGCAACAGCTTGTGTATCGATGTGGACAGCTCCGAAAAGAAACAAGCCATTTCGAATCACCCTTAAAAGCTAACCAGAGTAGCAGCAACATCAACACACACAAACATACATGCACTTGTACATCTACCAAGCAGCACTTTAGAAATTGTCTCACACATCTGCAACTAACAGGTCACAGGCCTCTAATGCAGGGTAGGGAGCCTTCATGTGTGCTTTGCTAGGGTGATGCCACCCTTTGTAATACTGCTCGCCGACAAACCAGCAGCCATTTTGGTACTCGGCGATAATCCGTGGGCTTTATAATCCTCCCAAAAACAAGCACCTTATCTTACAAGTTCGGAGCAGCGTGGTGGAACCCACGGAGGGAGGATTAGCATTTTCCCCCTCGGATGGGGGGACCGATGGACACAAAGGCCACTTTAGGGTGCACGGGGAAACAATGAGAGGAACAAAATGACGGTGGAAGAGGGTGTGAGAAAGGGAAACAGGCAGTTGGTATCACTCTATGCTAAGCACACATGAAGGCACCCTAGTGCAGGGTAGAGAAATAGCTTTGTAGTTGCATAAAGCAGCACCAAGGAAGTATATAACATCAAAATGTCATCTATCACACTACTGGCTGCTATCTGTTCCCTCTCGAAAGTGTTGACCTAGAACTTGTGCAATAATAAATCACGGCTTGCTTGGTATTCTAAACAGCAAAAGTTATCATTTCAAGAAATACTGAGAAGGCTGTGACACAGTATGTTACAAGAGAAATAAAAGCTCACAGCTTGGACTTCATTCTCTGGCATACGCTTAAAGGCCGACGAGAGGATTGTCTTCTGCTAAGAAGAAAATTGGTTCCCAGTTTTCTTCTCTCCATTCCCTCCCTCTTTCTTCTCTCCTCCCCTCTCCACAGAGCGGGTCTCTGAGCTACTCCCCACAGGAAAGAAAAATCTCCCTCCTTCTCGAATGGAAAAGAGGTGCAGAGGGAGAGTTTCCTCCTTTCTGGCTGCCCCTTGGCCTTTCAGAGCCAGCACAAAGCTGGCCTGGAAATCTGGCCTATGATACCAATGTATGCATCAAGCAAGATAATTCATTGAAGGGCAACACAAAATCTTGACTGCAAGAAATAATCTAAACCCCCTAAGAAGCTTGGAGAACAAATAGATTACAAGGAAGATCCCTACAGGCCTTCAGAGTCTCAGTTTCCAGGGGAGCAACACTACACACAGATTGAATTCAAAGAACAACTCGGCAGCTTCAGTAGAATGTTCAGCTGCCACCAAACAGAATTGTTGTCACTCGAAACACCAGGGCCATCACCTCGGAACCCACTTACCGCCACCAAGGGCACTGCGACAAACTCACAACCACACACCGTGCCCATTTCCCGCCACCACGAGTCATTCGGCGAACACAGCACCCAAGCCGGAGACAATCCACCCGTGCCGGGCCCCGTCCACGGCCGGCAAGCGGCCGCACTCACCTCTGCACGGGAGGCTCCGCGCTCACCGACACAGCGCGGTACTTGTCGTCCTTGCCGTCGAAAATCTCATCCACCTCGACAGCCCTCAGCAGGCTGATGCTGGTGGCCAAGCTGTGCGGTCCCAGGCCTGAACGCAGCCACCACACCAGGGACGGACAGAGCGGCGACGGGAAGGGGGACGGGAGAGGGAGGAGGGGCCGAGAGATGGGGGTGGGGACGGGGGATAGGGGGGAGAAGAGAGAGAGAGAGAAAGAAAGAAAAGGGGGAACCCCCCCCGGTGAGCGAGACGACTCACCTGGCAACGGGGGGCTCTGCGCTCACGCGTACCGCCGTGTACTTCTCATCGTTTCCTGCTATAACCTCATCCACCTCAGATACTCTGAGGAGGGAAATGTTCGTCGCCAAACTGTGCAGGCCCACACCTGTGGCGCAGGGGAAGAGACACAACAGGGGGGCCAGTCTTGTGGCACCCCAAACGTCCCATGGAGCAGGCGGTGAGGAGGTTAGCCATGAAGGGGGTAGCCCTGCATGCGGCTACGGTGCCCGGAATGCATCTCCCACCGGCGTGTCCGGCGTCCCGTCCCACCAGTGCGCCGAAATTGGTCCCCAGGATCACAACAGGCAACCACACAACACTGCTGCGACGTCGTCGGGCGGAAATTGAGGGACCACTTTGGAGGACGTAATGAACGCATCGGTCGGAGACGCACTCCAGGCACCATACTGCGGGTGGGGAAGGGGGTCTTTGTGCGGAGGGTCCGTTTTGCTCACGGCGAACCAATCAGAGGACTGGGCTCCCCAGACAACCAAGCGGGGTTAGCGAGGTTAGAGAAGCAAGCCGGAGCAACACTCAAGCATCAGGCGTTTGCGGGGAAGCGAAGCAGGATGGTGAGGCAGGACTGGACAAGCTGGATGCTACTGAAAACGTCAAAGGTCTCTTGTCGATACAATGTTTGCCCTACTTTTTTCTACTTTTTTTTATCCACGTTCACCTAAATATCATAGACATTTCAAAAGTCTCAAAATAGTGGCCAATGTTTTGCCACAAGACCGAGCCCCGAAGGATCTATGCTGACTGCCACTTTATACCTTTCTTAAGACATTCCTTCTTGAGGATTCTCTATCGGTGGCTGTCATCTTTTCGCCTAGTTTGACCGTCAACTCAAGTTGTCTATCGAAAAAATTCCAAGTCGAGCATATAATGTTGCTTATTTCCAGATTTTGTTTCTAAGATCCAATAAACCCTTGCCTGTACACCTGTATGAATCATGCAGTCTATGCAACTCATAAACATTGGTGAGATGGAGCCTTTTTCGCATGTTTCCGAAAAATATATGAACTCTTTGCAGGCTAGTTAAAAGTTCACCATTGAAACCTCCCTACAGATAAGCAATAGCAGATATATTGTGCCTGCCTTCACCCAGTTGAATTCCAAAGTAGGCCCACAAACGAAACAGTAAGAAGTCTTTGAACTGGGGCATTATCTCGACAGTACTATGACAAAGAGCAGAAAAGTGGCAGCAGCCTCTAGTGCCAGGAATCCTATGATGATAAGCTCCTAAATTTTTGTCCGAGTCAAATTAATGTTGTCAGGTCCTGTTGTAAAGGAAGAACTATGGCAAAAGAGCAAATGATTAACAGTCAAACAAATCCACTGTTCTCGCCCAGAAGTTAACTGTTCTTTAGGACTCTTAGTTACCATGTCCAGTATGCACCTATGGGATGCACTGGATCTTCATAGAACACAAGGATTTACATTATGCATGGTGCTATCCCACTAATCCCATTTATTGACTGATGCACTTAAATTAAATACTGCTAGCATGTCAATCTCCACAATGATAATTTTCAAGAGCCATTACAAAATATTTGTTTCTGTTATTATTTTTGTTATGCTTTGGCCCACCAAAGATATGGCAAATTATCAGGATATGAAAAGAAGCCTGGCATACTGGTAAAACAAATACGTACAATTTAGTAGAGAAGCCCATACTGAGAGATCTTCATATAATGATAGCACTAACATGTGATCATCTTTAAGACTCAAAACAGCTGACAAAATAGAACTTTTGGTTACGGTCAAACTGAATAATGGACCACAAGAAGTTTCAACAATAACAATTCCTTGTTTTAGATGATCAGAAACCGTATAAAGTCTACAAAATAACACACCTTAACAAAAAAAAAAATTAAAATTCTGACAAGAAAACGACGACACTGAACAAAGCTTTCTTCTATAATGTTTGCAGCAATGAAACTACCTTTGCCATGATAGAAGGGCACATCTGCTTCCCAGAGAAAGAAAGCATCATGTAGAATTGAGGAGATTCAGGTATCTTCCCTGATGCATAAACAATTATATTTGTTTGCTCATTTTTCCTTGAAGGCCAACCTGCACAATCGTTTTGTGCTTGGCAGAAAACGATTAGGTTGGCCATTTTCTGCCGGACAGAAAAGCAGACAAATTTTGTTAGTCCTTCAAATTTTTTTGTGTACAAGACTTTAGAGCGACAATTAGGGGCAAAAATATTTTGTTTATTTAGAGGATATCACAACTTCTATAGGAAAGGCACAACAGGTGCTCAATGGTTTCCAGCATTTGTAAATGTTGCATATGAGCTGCCAGTAAGTGTTACAGTGGAAAAATAATGGCACTGACAGAGTTGTTGATAGATGTAAGGGTCACCATTCCATTTTTTAGTGCATTCTATTCATTAACCACCCTTCTCCATTCCCACCCCCAAAACAAAAAAGGCATTATTTATCATTATTGATCCGAGTAGTTAATAGTGTGATGACGAAGCCAAGTGAGCCCAGGAAATATTGTTATGCCAAGCCACGTGAAGGTACAGGTGGAAGCAACTCTAAAGTAGGGAACTGCGGCAATATTTAAGTGATATAAAATTGAAAAACCAACCACCCAGGTGAAGAAGCAACAAATTTGGATAAGCCTATAAGTGGAGAAAAAGCTGCCTGCAGCAAGTTTAGCTTCTCATTTCCCTCCTCACACTTGCACATAAGGTCCGTTAAAAATTTTAATTTAGAGGTTTTACGCGCCAAATCGACGGAGGGCATCTGGTACGCCCTGGTGGAGGACTGTGGATTAATTTCAACTACTTGTGCATCCTTCGACGTGCAACCGAAAGCTTGGTTAGACAACGCCTTCTCCGCAACAAGCCTCCATCATAGAGCAAGCACCCAGGCCAAAATTTGATCCCGGCACCTAGGGATAGGATCTCTTAAAATTTTACCGACTGCAACATTGGCACACTGGAGGTATGCACAAGTGTTGACCCAAGATGGACGAGGAAGGTCGTAAAAATCAGACCACCTATTACGGCGGCTGCCTGTATCCCTACCGCAGTGATCCATCAATTCTTCGTCAAGCCAGGTGAACTGACCCTTTTCAAAAGGCCACCTGGCAGATCACCGCCATTAAAACCTCGTGATAAACTGCAAGTTATTTTGGCGGCTTATTCATTGATATGCTGTATGTTAAAGCTTGGCTGCAATAATCCTTTTTTTTTTTCATCTTTTTTTTCCCACCAATTTCTAATGTAACTTTCACGTGAACATGCAGTCTGACATGGTAAAGCTGGCACAACACCGCACAACCAAGTGCTTGCTCTGTGGAACTGGAATGGCTAATCCAACCTCCATGTTGAAAACATGAAATTACGCTGTGTGGGCTACGCTCACAATCAGTGCAGTCTGTTGGGCTTGTCGAGATAACACTATTTCAAGCTGGACATTAGTCAGCGAGAAAAGCCGAGACTGTAACTGTCTTGCTTTTGCCCTCAATGCACCTAAGCTGACAATGTGGATCAAGCTTGATCTTGATGGCACAAACACCCACTGCTTGCTGTTATAAACTCATTACTACAGGTAAACAAGTGATTCCGGTGTCGTTCAGAAATCATGGTCACAAAATAAAGTTGAGCATTCATGCTCACCTTCATTTTTTTTAACAATATGAATTATAAAAACAATAATGATGAAAAGAGAAATTTACGTTTGTATTATTTTATTGGGCAGCACAATGTGCTATTTATCAGGGAAATAACAACTTATCTTTTTAACACGAGTAGGACATGGATGAAGTAAAAAAAACACCTAGTGCAGACTATCTATGGAAAAACACCTTTTTTCAGCTAAAATTAGGCTCTCTGGACTACACACCAAATGTTGACTATAGTTCGGGAAATATGGTGCATAAACTTGGTCACTCTATTTTGCAGTTGTATATTTTGTTCGGGGACTTATTAAAATAATTACTAGGCTGTGTATGAAATAATGCCAGTGGCTTTACAATGGTTGTGTGGCATAAATTAGGGTGAGGAAGATAAATCAATTTAAAATATTACGGTATACCTCTATTGGTACCTCCTGGGAAGGCACAACCAATTTAAAGTCAATTTGAAATAAAAAATAGGGTGGCAAGTCTACCAAATGTCGCAGTGGCCCAAAGAACTAGAAAGTTGGTTGCCTTTTTCTGTGTGCAATTTCGCACTATGCTATTTCGCTAATGTGCAAGCCTTTCATGCCATTTGGCCCTTCCGTCACATTATCAGGAGCGAAACATGAATGCTCAAGACGGCTGTGCATAGGCAACGAAGAAAGCCTCAGAGTGCCATCATAGCTAACAATAAAATGTCACCGCTGCCCCATTTCTTGTGTCATAACATTCCGTAATAAAACCCAAATATATGTCCTCCTTGCTACTTTCTTCCTTAGTCGGTCTACACAGCAAGCAGAATGGCCCAAAACACAACATTAAGAGTGATTAAAAACAAAATGTGCGCCAACCCTGAGGAGTTGTAAACTAACTAATTAAAAGTGTATAAGATTCTGCGTTTCGTTGCACACTAAATATTTTCTAACCTGCCATAAAATATCAGTAACTGTAACTTAGCTATACTTTTGGGGTAACTTGTAACTTAAAGCTGGTTCAAACATTTAAACCGAGTACCGTATTTACTCGAGTAATAGCCGCACTGTTTATGAAGAAAACCCGAAGGTTCGCTTTTCTGCGGAGCACGCGGCTTGCCAATCATCGCGATCGACAGCATGATTCCAGCGGTTTACAGGTCAGAGATAGCGCCTTCGCGCGAAGATACCATCTGTGAAGATTGCATTTGTATGGAGAATCATGTTCTCGATCTAGTTATTCGCTATGTCATTTATGCGCAATGCGATGATTGGCTGTAAATGTGCTTTGCGGGGAAGAAGACGCAACGGCCTTGTTCATAAATAGTGCGGCTATTACTCGAGTAAATACGGTATGACACGAACGGTTTTTAAGCCGCTTAAGACATCTTACGACTGGCCACGCAACAGCGCGGCCCGGTTGTAACAGTAGTGAAAAGAGTAAGTGTGTGGGCAAGCTGGTGGTAGCCAATTGTGTCGCGTAACACCCGAGACTGTGGTGCAAAAAAGGAAAAAGCTTTGAGTCGAAGGAACAGACACAGAAGGGAACATTTTAACATTCTTTTCTGTGTCTCTTGCTTCGACTATAAGTTTTTTTTCTTTTTCTGCACCACAGTCTCGAGTGTTAAACGACATGCTCAGGGTTGTTACCTGTCGCGAGAAGCCTAAAAAACAGTTGTCAAGGCTTGTTCGCACAGTCGAGTTTGCTTACGACCCAGTTCCTGTGATCTCTTGCGGCAAGAGAACACAGGTGCCCAGATCTCAGAGTTTCCCAGTGCTCGATCGGTGCCACGAGTCTACGGGCCACGATTGCAATACAAGCTGCGAGGAGGTGACAAACATGCGGGTCGTCTACAAGAGTCTCCGCCTTTACGCCTACTGTTCTCCTCGCCACGCGGCAATGCAGTGCATGCACGCCTGCGACCAATCTTGTTTGTTTGTTGATACTGTAACAAAGTAGAGAGCTGGGTTTGTCGGTGAAAGTTAAACATGGTGTAGGTGTAAACAATGCATAACAATGAGGACCAAGAAAGGAAACACACAACACAGGACGAGCGCTGACTCGCAACTGAATGTTTAATAGTGAAAACAGAAAACAGGAAAACATCCAAAAGGCCCACTCAAGCACGCATGCATCACCCAAACTGTCTCACCACATTGGGGCTTCTGCTATCAAAGCATCCCTTGCATTCATACTTCTTTTGCTATGAATGGGGGGCAAGTGATGCGTAGATAGCAGAAGCCCCAACGGGATGGGACAGTTTGGGTGGCGCACACGTGCTTGAGTGTGCCTTTTTTATGTTTTCTTGTATTCCGTTTTCACTATTAAACATTCAGTTACGAGTCAGCACTTGCCCAGTGTTTCTTTTCTTAGTCTTATGCACTGTTACACCCACACCATGTTTATTGATACTGTTGGCCCAGGGGGACTGATACAGCATGGAATTTTAGCATTCAATACAATAGAAAGCAAAATATACATCTTGGGCCAATGTTTTGGTTAGATGCACAAGAGCCTAGAGACAGTTTCACTGCTCATGACCCCCAATAATGCTTGAAAAAAACGAGAAAATGTGAACACACAATTAGGCCAGCACAGCCATACCGTTCACAACTCGCAATAAATCACAAAGGGTTCAATACGCTCAATCAGACATGTAAAAAAGTAAATATAAATACAGTATAAAGTCTAGCCTCCACTATAGGATGCTATGCAGGCAAGCACATTATTTTCAAATTGGCTGACAGAGCCCATTTTCCCTATACCACAGGGAACAGAGTTCCATTCCTCTATGGTTCATGGAAAGAATACTTAAAGGGTAACTGCAAAGAAAAAAAGTGTGTTTTTAAACAATCTAATTGGGACAAGTATGTCACAAAAATATTTTTCTGCGAAAAAATAAAATTTTTACAAAAATATTTACTGCGCAAGACTGATTTTAGTTTGCGGCTATTTCGTCCGTTTTAAATTGCACGCCAAAAAGTTGGTATTATATGTCACGGAGTGGCTGTTATACATCACGGAGTGACGTATCTCAGCCACTCCGCGTGCGTCAAAAGAGCGGGAGTTTTAAATGTGGAGAGGTTGTGACTCCAACTAAATTATGTGATGTGGCGTAAATATTGCTAAAAAAAATTGTTTTTCGCGGAAGATTTTTTTTGTGACATGCTTGTCCCAATTAAACTGTTAAAAAAAAAACACTTTTTTTTTTTTTTCAGTTACCCTTTAAATGTGTCTGTGTGTAATTAAGCGTGTGATTTGATGTGGATGACTGCTTCTGACCTGACGAGATGTTTATGGCTTTATTTACTGTTTAGCGTCAAGGTAGAAAAGATTGCGATCCACCGAATAAAGAAATTTTAACATCGCCATTTTTCGTCAGTCTTGAAGATGTGGAAGGTTAAGTATTTTTAGCATTTCACTAACAAAGTCTGTTATCCCATACTTTGACAATATAAACTTTGCTGCTCCTCTTTGAACTTGCTCAATCCTGTCAATTTCATATTGTCTAAATGGGTCCCATACTACACTCACATACTACAATTTGGGGATAAACTGGCATTAAATAGGCAGTTAATTTGAGTTCCAAGGGATTGAGTTTTAGATTTTGTCTTAATGATTTGCACGAGACCTGTCCGTCATTGAATTGCAAAGGTTCTCTATTGTTCGAGTTGGTCCCTCTCTAGAGAACGCACACTAGCATCATTAATAAGGTGACCAAAGAACTGCATTTTACTAGAGCGAAGGTTTTGCAATATTTGCGAGATCAGATGTATGTACCGTCTATGAGAAACGGTTGTTAATAACACTGTGAGGAGTTTTTCGAGCAAGAAAAGAAAGAATGACAAGCGAAACAAAATGAAGAATATACGGAAATGCCAAGGCTACCCAATAGATGGCGCCAGTGTGTTTTCTCGTCGAAAGAGATTTTAAGAGGTTTTTAGGGCACACGGTCATAAGCAGTTGCAAGCGGGTGAACCAGTGCTAAGTGTGCAAATCGGCCTTTAGTTGAACAATGTTGTCACTGACTCGAGGACAGGGCGTCAAATCGAAACGGAACCTTTCGACGTCGTGGGATATTCTATAAGTAATTAGAATGTGACTTCGTTCATATTTGTGAGTAATTGTAACTGGGCAGGTCTACTGAAGTGACTGCAACTTAAACCTCTGCGACGCTGTAGTAGTAACAACATCTATTGGCAGCGTCCATTTCCCTGGCAGCCGGGAGAATAATTTTTACCGAAATTCTACCGGCCGTCGCCCTCTATTGGCTTGCCGACAGTCCGGATTAGCCTTTTTCTGTAACGAGCCACCCCAGACTGTCGCCGAGAAGCAGCGTGTATGGGTGGGCCGGCGGCTTAACATTTTTGTAACGAGCCGCAGCAGACTGTCGCCACAAAGCGGTGTCAACGGGTGGGTCGGGTTAGAATAAGTGCATGTGCTCCGCTTGCAGAGCAGAGTTTCGCAACGGTGGTACTAGGGCGGCTATGTTGGATCCAAGCTGCACTGCAAGAAGCGACCGTCGCTTCTGCAGAGAATCCGGAGGCACAAATGGTGTTGCTGTGAGGCGGCGTGCTGCTACGTGCAAAGCAAAAGAAAATATAGTGCAGCGACAAGTCGCAGTTGCGCCGTCGTCTTGTCATTTGTTGGCCGCTTTTCTCTATGCCCTCGGTAGAACATAGTAGCCAACGAAAACGTTGTTCCTTTGCAAGCCATAGCTGTTGAGGTGCCCAGACGTGCTGGTCACGTAACACTCCGCAAGCACCGCAGAAACGAGCAGCTCGAGCGTCCTCCATGTCTGCTTCCCAGACTTTGGAAACATGCTCGAAAACATTGCTCGCGTTATAAAACAACGCGATTTTACTGTACCCAGTGGCTACACGTAATGTAGAATGGTCAAAGGACCTTCTAGTTTGTTTGATTTTAGTGTAGGGTGTATACTTCGCAAATGCAAAGCGAGAAACATGCTCCACCCAAAACATGGCACATGCAAGGTCAATTTCCCGCATGAAGGTTGGATCCAGTTCAGTGCACGTGACCGCTTGTCTTTCAACACAGAGTTGGCGGCGAAAAGAAAAGGAACGTGATACTTTGGCTCTGCAAGCAGAGCCTATATAGTTACTCTAGGTCGGGTGGGTTAACACGGGCGACGAAGTGTCCCTACAGCGTGCAATTCGCGTAATGAGTGTCGATCAGAAGTTAGTCTCAACAAAACGTGTCTTTATGAAACTTGCAGTATTTTACCGGCCGTTGTCACATAATGTCAAACAGCCAATGGGAGGAGACTGTCGGTAGAATTTCAAGAGATTATTCTCCCGCCTGCCGGGAGAATAGACATTTTTCCGCAGGTCCCCGTAGTTACGTGAAATTTGCGAAAACAGTGATTGTGAACAGTCTCTATAATAATTATGAACAGGAGATGTGTCGTGTTCAGCACGCAACATAACACTGCATAGGAGCTGCGCCAATTGCGATCGCTCGCCCTCTTCTCCCCGTAGAGCCTGGGTTGGCGTTAGTTCTTCTAGACAGCGTGACCGCGTCAAAGTGCACTGCCAGTCCACAAGCACACAACACGGACACACACATACATATAGAGCATCCAGGAAAATGGTCTGAAACGGCAACGCTTACCCAGAGATGCGATCTTCTTTCGCTCGTCAACAGTGACGAGGCGACGCCAGAGTGACGGGTACTTCTTGTAGAGCGAGCCACGAAACATACGGAGGTAGTTCCCGACCTAGCGAAGCAAAGGGAAGTATCAGTCATTTACACGATCACGCAAATGATTTCGGACTATCTGGTGTACATTCAGAGAAATAATCGGTAGAAGTTGGTCGCGGCAGAGAAAGGCTTCATGGGGCAAAAGCAAGCTCTTACCTCCGACCCGATGTAATAAAACTCGCCATCTTCTTCCAGTTGGAAGGCGGTAGGCTTGTCACCGAAGGTTTTCATCGTCATCTTGAAGTACTTTGTTTTATATTATTAACACGTACAGTGAAACAACAACGACGACAGCGCGAATTCAACTCTTCCGAGACCTTTTTGAAGCGACAAAGCGACGCGCACGGAGAACGGACAGCGGCGTTGGTGGCGTTAGCGAGTGGCGTCTAGTTTAGTCGTTTAGTGGCGCTAGCAGCGCCTGTGTTGCACAGCGTTGCTAGAGGTAAAAAAACAAAACCCAAATACGAGCTACATTTGGTCAACCGTTTAGTTTCGTTTTAGATTTTTTTTTTAATTTTTTTTTCGAGGTTGTAAATTTTATTATGCTTCGTTTTACGTTCAGTACGAGCTCAGAAGCTACGGGTTTGTAGCGTCCTTGCCAAGCATGCGAACTCGTGTGGTGCAAGCAAGAACATTGATGCAAGCGTCGTTCAGAGCTTACTCGATCATCAGCTCAGTTGGCAAACTCCCACGGGGAGCGTGATCCCTTGTTGAACCGGAACTGAACCGAACCGAAAACCGGAACCGACCCGTTATTAATGCGAAAGTATTAACTGTCTCATGGAGCGAGCCGACGTTATCATCTTTAACTGTAGTATTTACATTGGTCGGTCTTTCTAGTTTTGTCAAAGATGGCATAACAACGGACATCAGTTCTGTAATAAAGAAGGTGCCACGCGCTGGCGGCCTCGAGGCCAGCGCTCGGTCAGACGTTTGCCAACACTCGAACAGAACGGTTGTCTTTCCTTTCGTCGCCGGGTAAACCAGACAGGGTTCACTCGGGAAGACGGCTTCTTCTGCTCGGCCATGGAACACCGGCACCTCCGTCCGATGTACATTTTGGCGACGAGGATGGGATTTCTTTATTTTGAGCTGAATTTTTGTAACCTTGTTCGAGTAGTTGGCAGCGCTCCGCGTCCCGGTCCAATGGTTTGGAATACCGGCGCGTAACAGATTTTCTTTCGTTTCCCTGGTTCCATATTTATTTTCATGTCTTTTTTGGGGGGGTTTTCGAGATTTTCGCACGTTAAATGATTTTTGCGTTCTCCTCCTTTAGTGCGATCAGTTCGCGTGGGACATTATTTTGTTCAATCTTCACTGGGGTTCTCAGTTTGTTCCAACCTTCGAGATGACTTCATCTTCCTCTTCCATTGTGGTTGGTTCGATGGCATTCCCACCGCCGGCCGTGTTTTTGGCTGTTCCTGGTCCACCGATAGTTGCTTGGTCAGCATGGAAGCGTGGGGTTTTGACATACCTTGAAGCATCGGGTTTGCAGTGTGTCGAACCGCGTCGGAAAAGGGCGATTTTATTTTCACTATTGGGTACGGAAGCCCAGCGTATCGTAGACGCATTTCAATTGTATGAGACTCCTTCTGCAGAAGGAGCCGATGAGTTCCAGATTTTCTTAGAGGCCGTTGGCAGGCATTTTGAATTTTCTGGTAGTGTTGCTCTTGAGCGCCAGAAACTGCGCGCCTTGGTACAGCGTCCCGGACAGTCAGTCACCGAGTTTCTTTCCGAATTACGATATCAAGGCTCGTTCTGTGCTTATGGAAACGCTCTCGACGAAAGACTCTGTGAGGTGCTCTTGGAGGGTTTGGAATCCAGACGCGTTCAGTATCGCCTCCTGCGGGAATGCGAAGGCAGCGAGGTACCGACCTTATCTCGAGCTATTCAGTTAGCACAACAGTTTGAGCAGAGGGCGAGAACGGCCGCGAGTTTCCGGAGACGAGAACAATCGCAAAACCGAGACTCGGCGGAGGTTCAGCGAATCGGGGAACGACGTCTGCCAGGAACCCAAGATGGCGGCACAGCGTCGTCATCTTCATTCGAGCATCGCCAAGATGGCTACGCCGGATACCCCTCGTGGCATCAACCTGGCTATCCCCTGTCCCAGCCTGGACCCAGAATGCCTTGGCTCCCATTGGCCGCTGGTCACGTGCCCCGGTTTCCGGCCGGGTGTTCCAGCCTCGACGAGATCGTGACCTTGCCCCTCCTCGAACTCGTGGAAACGCAGACGAGGCTTGTTATTTTTGCGGACGCCGCAGCCATGACCGGGCGCTTTGTCCGGCGTCCCAGGCAGCTTGCTTCTTATGCGGGAAGCTGGGACATTTTGCAGTGATGTGCCAGAGTCGTCGCCCGCCGTCGGCGGCCTTCGCCTACGACCGCAGACAAGCGTCGTTTCCTTTCCAGGGCCGAGGTTCTCGGCGAAGCTTCGCTGACCGACAGTCCCGAGGAGTCAGGTCCAACCTGGTAAGCATGGTCGACCCGCCGCCGGCTCCAGAGATGCTACCAAGTGTTACGTTCGCGGAGGATCCACTGCCCGTCGAGACAACTGAGAGAGGAGAGGGTGGATCGTTCGTCGAGATGCATTCATGGCCGAAATCACGGTAAATGACACACCTCTTCGCATTCTTGTTGATACTGGTTCATTCGTATCAATTTTAAATGGGCGTACCTTTAAGGAAGTTAACAAGAATAACAAGATAAGGTTATACCCACCGTCGAGGACCCTCGTCCACTATATGCAAGACACCATCCCTGTGCTAAGATCTTTTGTGGGACAAGTAAACTTTAAAGATTGCTGGGCATCGCTGGAATTTTACGTAACCAAGACGTTCGTTGCTCGGAATCGACGCGGTGCGTAAAATGAAACTTGTGCTGAATGGTGCTAAGTACGAATGTTTGTACGCTAATGCAGCTCACGGAGGAGGAGTACCGCAGCGGAATGTGAGGGCCACGCCAAATCCGCAGCGACAACCGTTCACCGTGTCGTGCTGTCAAGCATCGCAGCCACTTGGTTCATCCCCTGCGGCGAGTTCCAGTCTTCTTTCTGCTGGGAATAACATTCCTGACATATCCCCTGCTTCATCAATCTCTGGAGATACGATACCTAAAGCCATTCTGTGCAAGTCAAGTCCTCAACGTCATTCTGAAAAGACGAGTACATCAACAAGTCATCATGGGACTCCTGCTTCCACAAAAACGGATACATCGAAGTTACCGCCTGGGTTCGAAGAGTTTGAACATCTCTTTAGCCCAGGTTTGGGTCTGGTGAAGAATCATACACACAAGGTTAAGGTGCGGCATACAGTTCAACCCGTCCAATCAAAACTCCGTCGTCTTCCGATGACATTGAGGGATCAAGTTTCTGAAGAAATTTTCAAGTTGGAACGAGCGGGTATCATCGAACGTGTTCAAGCCTCTGAGTGGGTGTCGCCGATTGTTGTTGTCCGCAAGCCAGATGGCAACATTCGTAGGTGTGTGGATCTACGAGCGCCGAATCAAGCCGTTGTTATCGATTCCTTTCCGCTGCCATGTATCAACGAACTTTTGAGTTCTTTGCGTGGAGCAGCGTTTTTCTCCAAACTGGATTTGGCTTCCGCCTATCATCAGGTCCGTCTCGACCCGGTGAGTCGTGACCTCACTTCTTTCATTACCCATGAGGGATTGTTCCGCTCCCGCAGCTTTCCAGCAAATAATGTCCAAAACGCTAAAGGATTGTCTAGGAGTCCAGTTTTACTTAGATGATGTTATCGTGTATGGATCCACTTTGAAAGAGCACGATGAGAATCTCCGTTGTGTCTTATCTAGAATTTCCCAAGCGGGAATGAAGTTAAACCGTAAAGGTGTTTTCCAAGTAGAGGAGCTCTCAATTTTGGGACAACATCTTTCCGTAAGAGGGTTAGCACCCCTTTCATCTAAGGTAGATGCAATCCTGAATTTTGCAACTCCCTCTGACTCAGTGAAGCTAAGAGCGTTTTTGGGTCTTATTGAGTATTATAGTAAATTCATACCATATGGTTCTACGGTCGTAGAACCGATGCGTCGTCTCCTCCGTAAAGGAGTTCCTTTCAACTGGTCCCCGGAAGTTGAGGCCAGTTTTCAGAAAGTAAAGGCTTCCATTCAAGCAGCGCCGATTTTAGCTATGTTCGACCCAACGTTGTATATCGTCGTGGCAACAGATGCTTCGCAGTATGGTCTTGGCGCTGTTCTTCAGCAGCAGTATGGAAATCAGCTTCGTCCTGTAGCCTTCGCGTCGCGCTCGCGATGTCGAGCGAAGGTATTCTACTGGTGAGAAAGAAGCACTAGCATGTCTATGGGCGTGCGAAAAGTGGCATGTCTATCTGTGGGGAAGGTCTTTTGTAATTCGGACGGACCATCAAGCGCTGGTTACGTTACTTTCAAACAAAGGATCTGGAATCCGCCCTCTTAGAATCACCCGTTGGTCATCCAGACTTCTGAACTATAATTTTAAGATGGAGTTTCAGAAGGGCGCCACCAACGTCGTTGCTGACGCGTTTTCAAGGTTGCCAGTGCCTGACACGGAAGAGGGTATGCGATTTGACGAGGAGGTTGCTTCTGTTGTCATGGTTCCACTGTCTAAGGGTGGTTTTCAACAGGCTACGGCCAATGATGTAGTTCTGCCTTCCGTTATCCGATATACCACATCGTCTTGGCCTGAGGACAGCAAAATGAATCCAGACCTGCGACCATACTATCAGGTACGAGATCAGCTCTCCCTGTACGATGGCATCTTGTACAAAGGAGAGAAGCTAGTTGTTCCTATGCAGTTCCGAGACAGGATAATGAAAGTAGCGCACGAAGTACACCAAGGGATCACGAGAACTACAAGTGTGATCCGTGAGCATTACTGGTGGCCTCTCATGAACCAACATATAAAGAACAAGATAGAAAACTGTACAGTGTGCCACTCAACTGACAAGACAGTGAAGGCTGCGCCGGCTCCTCTGCAGCCCATCCAGTTTCCTAGTCAACCCTGGGAAAAGCTCGGCATTGACATTGTGGGTCCGATTGATCGTGCACCGCCCAGTCAAAGATTTTTCATTGTCCTGATTGACTACCACTCTAAGTGGCCAGAAGTTCAAGCCACGTCGTCGGTAACGTCAGCGACCGTCATCAGCTTTCTGAAGAATGTTTTTTCACGTGAAGGACTTCCCTGTGTGATTGTTTCTGACAATGGGGTCCAATTCACCTCTCAAGAGTTTCAGGATTTTCTACGACAGAATGGTATTAAACATAAGAAAACATCGTTGTATCATCCTCAAAGCAACGGGCAGGTTGAAAGGTTTAATCGCGTTTTGAAATCTTGGCTTCAGTTGGCCGTTGTGCAAGGTCGTTCCCTTCCAGACGCCGTTCGGGACCACCTGGAAGCATATCGTCGTACG